TTACATTTGTGTTGCTTACATTTGTGTTGCTTACATTTGTGTTGCTTACATTTGTGTTGCTTACATTTGTGTTTCTTACATTTGTGTTGCTTACATTTGTGTTGCTTACATTTGTGTTGCTTGCATTTGTGTTGCTTACATTTGTGTTGCTTACATTTGTGTTGCTTACATTTGTGTTGCTTACATTTGTGTTGCTTACTTTTGTGTTTCTTACATTGGTGTTGCTTACATTTGTGTTGCTTACATTTGTGTTGCTTACATTTGTGTTGCTTACATTAGCCAGGTAATCTCTTGCTCATCCTTGTAACCGAAGGTTTCAGTGAGTTCTCTGCTGGCCTTTTTTGCTAGCAGCTCTGTATAAGCTTAAAATTTTCTTGAAAGGATGAAACTTACTCTGATGTCATTCATTCTTGAAACATGGTGGTAAATATCATATCTAATTTTTTAAAGCTGCTGCTTTTCAAAGCTAATCGAACGTTTTTACCCAATCAGCATGAAGATGAACCGGCCCAGAATGCAAAGCAAGCAGAGCTCTCAGGGGCAGCTTTGAAGAACAAAAAGAAGAGAGAAGCCAAAGTGAAGCAATCAGAACCAAGTCACCAGATACCTGCATCAACTGTGAGTTTATGTTCAAAACAGCTATAGCCCAAGGATATTTACCTCTAAAATTAGGCCCAGCGCCTGTAGTTCAGTGCGAGATATAACGCAGTAGGCTTTGACGAGTATCAAAAAGTAACAAATATATTGAAGAGAAAATGAAACAGGAGAGTAAAATTAATGTTATAGAGACATGACGAAGTGATATGTAGCACAGAAAGGATGTCTAAGGCAAACTGCGCATTGAAGTGTTTAATTCCACGTTCTTCGTGCTTTAGATTTCAACTCATATCTGCCCTCCTTCTAGACAACTTTACTATAGTAAACCCCTTCGGAAAATAACCTTTTTTCACACATCTTTTTCTTCTTTAAAACGCCCAATGATTCTTATCTTAAAGGTGTATGTATTTAGATAATGAATTTGATTGTTAATACCTGGCAATAGAGTTGTCTTGGGAGAGTTTAAGACACACGTTGCTTAATCAAGGAATAACCGTCTGCGTTTGACCGTAGCACGTTTCTTGTTTATTCATAAGCAAGTATTTTCCCATCTCGTAGCAGCAGCAACAAGCCGCAGGAGCTCCAATGACAGAAAATGAAAAGAAGATAAAAAATTTGAAGAAGGTATATAAAACATTATTGTTTTAATGTCTAAGATGATGTGTTTGTTTGAGATGATCTTTATAATGAGTTTTCGTTCTATTTAATGATGCTGCAGGCTCTGAGTATCTTGCAACAGCTATTCAAAAATTATCATCTTTTAGTTACTTTTAATCTGTCGTAACTAAACAATAAGTTGGTTTATGAATGCAACCTTTTCCATTCCCTTTTAACTTGAGAAATACCGAAGCCATATCCACTTAAGGACACAAAGAATGGGGTAGGAGGGAGGGGGTTTGGTTACACTTCACTCTAATTATCCAACTGTTCATGTTTTGCTGTTTTGTGTTTGCAAAGCAATTTATGATTTTTAAAATAATAGGTTTTTGGCAATTTGTATAATGAGACAAGTTTTAGCTGCCTCAACGCCTCAATTTGTTAATGTAAACGAATTTGCATATTAAGTTTTTCTGACGACTGAAGTCGTAAAACTCTCTGTGTAGAAGCTTCGGCAAATTGAGGAACTGAAACAGAAACAAAAGGAAGGGAAAACTCTCGAAAAGAATCAGGTACAAAACAATTTATTCTTATGTATTTACTCGTATAATTTTCTTACAAATTCAACTAGATTTCATAACTTCCCGGCTTAACATTCATATTGGTTAGAAAGCAATCTAACAAGTATTTTGAAACACTCTTTATTTCATTTTCATTTTCGAATAGCTTGATAAAATTAAAGTGGAGAAGGAGTTAGTGCTGGAGATCAGAGAATTGGAGCTTGATAGTTGAAAGTGACGAAAAATCTCGACTTACGCCGAACCATCTCGAGGGACCTTTTGAGCTGAAAATTATGCATCCAGACGGTAATCAAGCATCAGAATAGGAGACATTTGAAAATGTGAATCAAGACGTGATAATACAACAGGATTTGGTGATTGCAAGACAGCTCTTTGAGTACCAATTGGAGTTCGGCTTAGTAACTTTCATAGCTTTCAGTTTTATTTTTTCGAATATCATTTTAGTTCAATAATTGACATTTAAGGAATTTCTTCTATTCAAATTGATATAATTGTTAATTTTTTATTATAATTTACAATCTTATGTTGGATACCTTTCTAAAATAAACTTTTCTTTGTTTACAGAAAGGTTTAATCATTGGTAAACTTTAACGAGAAAGTTTTGATAAGTGTTTGTTTCTAATGGTGAATTGAAGAGTGTTGATAACCCCTAGATATCGACTGAAACTAAATTAACCTTGCTGTTATTGTCGAACCTTTCCAATACCAATTCCACACTAGGTTTTCCAATACCAATTCCTTTCACAGTGGTTGTAAAGTAGATGACACCGTATCGTCCAGGATTTTGTTGAGATTTTTATGATAATACTGTTCAGAATGATATATTGGCAATTTTCATCAAGTTTTTGTTACTTCATGATAACTATTTCTTTCAAGAAAATTGTTTCATAATGAAAATAGCAAGAATCGGATATCTTCTTCAACATCAATTTATTTGTCGTAAAGATTTTTCTCTTACTTCATCTTGAAATCTCAATGTCGGTTTTTATTTTCAGTTCATTTTCAGAAGAGAAAAGCTTATTTTAAATGACACTGTGGTCCCAATGTCCTTATAACAGTTAAGTCATATTTTAGAACTTTCGGTGATTTTCTTTGCTAGAACATCTAATTTGAATATCAAATGTTGGTTTGATAATCAGATATTCAAAGCTTTAAAGGGAGAAGGCATTTGCTAAAAAAGTGAAAAATTAAGATGTTACCTCGAGGAATTATTTCAGAGATTAATCAGTTGGCTGATTAGACCCTGAAGCAATTTTTATAAACAGAGCTTGGAAAATACAACGACTGTAGAGGACCAAAGAAAACAAGTTCATTTTGTTTCCATATTTCCACATTAAGATGAAAAATGTCTGACAGTTTTAATATCACAGCTTCTTCTTTCATTTTTCTAGCTTTTCACTGCCCTGTTATATGCAGCGTTTATTAAACAGCGGCGTTTATACCATGTGAAATGTGGAAAGGGGGGGCGTTTATTAGAGGTATATAGTATAAATGTATAAATGCAATAACAATTTCAAGTTGGTAGCAGTCACATCAAATATTGACAAACATGACCATTGGTTGCAAATTTGTAGTTGCCAATCTATCTGTTTTGCACAGCCATTTGCAAAATGAAGTTCACTTAAAAGTAACTGAAATGGCCACCAGTTAATTCACTAGAATATGCCGCATCGGATTTGGACTGTTATTTGCTGACAATTGCTTGTCCCATGTTACCATTTCATAGACGTCACAGGAAAGCCCTTTAAAAAGAAGGCACTGAAGAAAATTTGTTACGTAGAGGAAAATTCTTGTTGCTTAAAAACCGCATACGCAACTAAGGTGGGGTCGAATACATACACTTCCCAATAGGGAGGTAATAACGACAGACGAAAGTAAGAGAGGTCAATGTTGGTCAAGTGGTAACGTTATAAAAGCTATTTTTAGAATGCTCGATATCTGACCATACAGGCTAAAAGGACATCATAAAACATTTCAATATATGATACAAAATCAAACATGCTCGAACTATATGTGATAGGCCCATGAAATCTGTGTATTTTCTCTGTAGTTTAGTCTTGTTTTAGAATAGATCGTTCTTCAAATTTAACCGGAATTTGCCGCTGTTGTGCAAAAACTTTAAAATATAAGAAACTTTTGGGTAATTCACTGCCTGACCAACCAAATAGCATGAAATTTTCGGCACAGACTTATTCAACATGAAGATTCAAATTTTATGATTCATTTTTGGCAAATGTGAAGATAAAAAAATGACCAGAACAGAGAGTAACTGAGTTTATAACATGAGAAGTATCATTGCTATCAACTAACAACTTTTGGCGGTACAGAACTTGAAAATGGCTTTGCAAAAAGCAAACATTTTACAACATATTGGCTAAAAGCTTTTTCATCTGACATTCCTCAGAGCATAAAACGTCAGAATAAGGGTCCGAAAGAACACGATGAAAAATATATACCCAGTTGTGGATCGAAATAGGCCAATCAGAAAAACACAAGACCGGTATAGTTGACCAATCAGTGCCGCGCGTGCCTAAAGAAAAATTACCGCTGGAGTCCAAGAGAATACGAACTTCTTCTATCTAACATTGGCGTTTGTATGAAGATCGACTCCAAAACTGCTAGATGGAAGGACGACCGGGCTCTGCCAATTATCCGAAACATGTCGTCATTATAGAGTTTTGCAAAATCTGGATTATCTAAAAGATGTTGACCGATGGTAGAATCACTTGTTTTAACAGTGTTTCTAAGACCAAACTAACAACTACAGTTCTAAAGCATTGTAGAAGTCTGCAAGAAATCATGCGTAAATCACAGAAAAAGATATGGTAATTCAAAATTATCGAAATACAGTGGAATCACGATATAACGAATTTTGAAGGGACCCAGAAGATAGTTCGCTATATCGGGAGTTCGTTAAACCGAGAGATAACGTTTTTTTTGTTCCTTTCGCAGTTCACGCCGTAAAATACCTGCGGTGGGCTTGATTAGGCTTTCTCCAACCTCTGTGCACATTCAACTCCAAAAAACCAATCTGAATTCAAACAATACAATTGGCTGGTCATTGAAAATGAAAATCTTGATGTTTCTTTTATAATTTGGGACCAAGAGATTGGCAGAGCTGGTATCACTTCACTTCTAGTTGGTAACTAAAATGTCTTCGATTACTTTACATTCTTATTTGCCTTTTCCTGCTTTTTCATCTGGGTCTCGCAATCAATTTTTGTCGTCGCTCATTGCCAATGTCTCATATGTAAGAAGGTATTCGTTAGTGTTAATGTACTCATTCGCAGTAATTTCTGACGCAATCAAACTTTCATGTCGTACACTGAGTCTAGCAGCCAGTGCTTGAAATGTATCATCGGCATGTTTTACCGATTGCAAAAATGATTTTTCCCCAAGAGAAAGTGATAAATGAACACCGAAAATAAATAAACAAAAATAATAGATGAAAAATTTATGAAAAGTTCATAATATCGAGGGTAGTTATGATGAAGGGACCTACAATTTGGCTCGTTATACCGGGAAGTTCGTTATATCTGGGGTTCGTTATATCGGGATTCCATTGTATCATAGTTGCCGCTTCAGTGTAGAGCATCCCAAACTGTAGGATGCAGACGAACTATTGGATGCCTAGCAGTATTTAGTGCAAGACTATACATCCAAGTAATAACTATGAACAAACAAGAAGAACAAAGAAAAATAAGAGATATCAATTGCCCAATTTTTTTAATGTCGATAAGAGATTTTTTAATGTCGAAAAGTTTACAGAGCACCAGTACCAGGAACCACGTGAAACTTTTATGTCGTAACTGCGTGTCTGCAATTATATATTGATATACAAACACAATTTCAAGAAGTATACATAAAATTCTTCTGATTAATGTTATTTGATTTCGTCACAAAGAGCACACAGTTTCCATGGGAGTTGCCTAATTATGCTAATTTATTCATACGGCCTTTAAGTGCATCACTTTATTCATTTTGATTTCAATTAAAGATGGCGGTGAAGTCTGGAAGCAATTTGCAAGGCCCAGGTTCTGTTGCTTATCGTATCGGGCAAGGTGTTGGAGGTATTGATGCAGACTTTGTTACAACAATGCCTCCAGATTATGAATGTCCCATTTGTCGCCTTGCATATAGAGATCCTGTCCAAACAAGAGATTGCGGGCATCGTTTCTGCGAGACATGCATCGAACCAATTTTAAGGTAAGTTCTGTTTCTAAGGCGAGGTATCCAGAAGACCCATGTTTTTCTTCTAATAATGATCATGCCTGGTGCTTTTATCTATTCATAAACGGTTTGAAGCAGACTTTTTTAAAGTCGCCTCGGGCTTTCTGAGGTTTTCCATCTCCAAGCGGTCTAACAACAGTTTAATTGATGGTTTACGAGGACCTCTTGCAAGCTACAAAACTGAAGCATCATGCGACACATGGGATATAAATTTATATATATTTTCAAAAATCAACAGCGTACTTGCATTCGCCAGAAGCAACTTTTTACTGCATGAAAGATAACCCTTAGAATATGCTAGATCATGCATTACAGCCATCTTGGGAATAAATTTGTAAAATATTAATAGGCGTTGTAACACCGATTTGCAAACATTGTTATGACGCTTCAAATCATAAGTGGAAACTTGAAGGGTGCACAATTTTTGAACAGCTTCTATGTGACTGGGAATAAGTAGTGTGTATAATATTTAAAGTAGTTCGAAATGTAAGAATTCTAGGGTTTTTTAGACTCATCCACCATTTTTTTGGTTCGGTGGAAAATTAAAAGCATTATTGTTGTGTTTGTCAGCTGCCTCTCTATCATAACTACTGTTTGAGTCTTTCTTCTGGTCCATTCTTCATTCTTCTTAATACCAATGCCAATCATTTTACTGAAGACTATTATATTTTGCCCTTTTCAACTATGATTTGCCCCTCCCCCTAACCAGGGTGCATTCTATGTTGATCCTACGCCGGACACTTTTTTTTGGCACTCATAAATTACGCCAAGTCTTGTGGACTTAAAAAAGGGTGCTTCTAGCAGCACGCCAACAGCCAACGTTTCTGGTCGAATATTTTTGGTGACCCTCTTTTTGAGAATCGTATAATAAAGGTTTGAGAGGAATGACAAGAGAACTACAACAAGATTTTCACTTAAAATTTCATAAATTAACGAAAACGATTTAAAGAATAGTTAGCTATACTAGAAATAGCTCTTGCTAGTACTGCCCGCAAACAATTAGTTCCTTGATAATGATTGTTTTGAAAATGTAGGTCAGGATATTCGAAGAAGACACCATCTTGGGTTTTCACAATTCTATAAAAACAGCTGCTCTAGTCGATGCTAAACTATTCTTTTAATCAAGAATTTTTGGTGTTCAGTTTGCCTTTGATTTGAGTCCAACGCCCTTTTGAAAATCATGAAGTTTTTCGAGGGTTTGACATTTATTTTTCGATAATCACGACAATCATAACTTTTGCTCGTACGGTCTCGAGTTTTTGGGAGAAAAGTGTGGCATTCGACTGGTTTTGATTCCCAAAACTTCGAATCAAAACTTCCATCCATTGCGGAGAACAGAGCTGTGATACAGCACCGTTTTCGTGCCAACAATCATAACTTTTGCTCGTACGGTCTCGAGTTTTTGGGAGAAAAGTGTGGCATTCGACTGGTTTTGATTCCCAAAACTTCGAATCAAAACTTCCATCCATTGCGGAGAACAGAGCTGTGATGCAGCACCGTTTTCGTGCCAAAAAACCGAAGGCCTTTAACAGAGTCTTGGCAGAGCAACGCTCCGAAGATAATTCCCTTCCGCACAAAGAGGTGGCGGTTAACGACCTCCTCGACAAAGCCGATTGATTGACAATGAAATTGATTGACAGTTGTCATGGCAGCAGAAAAGTGACAAAATCTGCTGAAAAAGTGCTGACAACATGAACTGAAGCTTCCATATGCTACTTATACGCGGGGCAGACTATAAGCCCTTCACTCGCGCGCTATCGCGCGCGAGTTGCGGGCAATAAAAAATTAAAAGAACAAAACCTGGATTTCAAACAATTAATTTCAAAGATTTGGCAATACATTCATGCACAAACATATCTCACAGAGAAACAAAACAGTTGAGTTAATGAAATATAAGATATTAGTACGTAGCTTATTCATACCAGAGTACCTTTCAATTATCAGACAGGAAAGGACAACGGCCTTTATCACTGTCAATACGATCAATTACCTTTGATACAACATAATCCTTATTTCTACTGGAAAAAAACGTGTTCTGTCGGTGCGGCCGCAATTTATCATCTCCCTGAATGTAAGTTTTAATCCCATCCTTGATAATATTTTTGCAGTTTTAAAGTGACGGCAAGGCCCATTGCAGCTTCGTTCTTCTAGCCAGTGTTTCGTTCGATTGCCCTCCTGACTGTTGTTGCGATCTCATTGAGCTGTAAAAGCTTTCAGCTATTGCTTCAGGCCCTCCCTTAGCCAAAAGAATGTCAATTAGAGCGCAAGATGGCTTACTTGCAATGTGACAGATTTCTTCGTTGTTGTAAAATGATTGGTACATTCGCTGTTCATGTAAGCGCACTTTCATAACTTTTCCATTTGAAAATACCATTTTGAACTGACAATCTAATGTATTGCTTTCTTCTTCTTCAAACTCTTCAAGTGTTGCATTTTGAGTATGTAAATTAACATTATTTTGGCTTATAATAAACCATTCTGGGCACTTGCCATTCCAGATGCCTGCTTTAACAGCGTTTTTTATTCTGGACATGTAAAGATACGCCATTCTTGAATCGAAATTCATCCCTGATTCCTTCACATGTTTTAGCTCGCTAATCGTTGTTAATATGCGCTTACATTCTTCCACTCCATATACTTCATACTCACCTTCATCTACAAAATATTTTATTTCTTTATTAACTCTTTTTCCACAGTGAAGCTTAACAAGATTCGCCGCATCAAATACTTCAAATGTTGATGGTGATTTTTCAGCAAGCGATTCAATTCTAATATTCAAAGCTTCACATAGCTCTTTGGCCAAATTCTTGCGATCTTCTTCGATATCTTTACTGTCACGCAAATGCCACGTAAAGCGAGAATTTCCATCTGCATTTTTTCCATTATCTTTCGTTATGAGCCAACCTTGAAGTAATTCAACTCCTTTGAATTTTAAGCCAGGTATCAAAGAGTGTTCGACTTTTGACAGTCTAGGAAAGACCAGGGGGTTCCCTTTTACAGCTTTTAGCAGATTTTCTCTGACTTTAGGCCACCACATTTGTAGCTTCCAGATTGGAGTGTCAAGTGATTGGGCTCTCAGCATCAGATCAATAATAGGATCCATGATATCCAAAAAGGATAAAAGATCTGCCACAAAATCACTTCCAGCAATCATGTATTGCCACTCTTCGTCTTCATCCCTCCGTGGATGTAACAATTCAAATGCCTGCCAGTACGATTGGTAGCTCTGTTCAATTTTGAGCCACTGCTCATACGATGAACTCATGAAACGCTGAGTAGCATATGACACAGGTCGTCTCACAGTACTGTCCACCATCTGCAAAAAGGCAAACCCCTTTCCATTTGCCAAAACATGATTGAACACATTACATCTCTTGATAAATCTACGGAAATGTTCTCCACCAGGTGAGTTAGCATCTCTTACTTCGGTAACAGCAAGGTTTAAAACATGGGCTGTATCCCATGTTATGGGGAGAGCGATCACTTTGTCTACATGCTCTGGGATCTCCAGTTGCCGAAAAAGTGAACTTCTGAATCCAGAAGCCTGATAAGGGCCATCAGCTGCCACACCACAAAGCCTTTCCAGAATTTGGGGGGAGAAATTATCAGAAATTGCTTCCAGAAGTTTTAATGCCAATATATCATATGAGGCTTCGGTAAATTCTGTATAAATGGCAGGAGCTGCAACAGGTATTGGGGAGGGTATCCCATTCTTATCTCTGGCGACAACCAATACTGCTTGGTTTGTTGTTCTGGCTGGTGTAGCTTTATCAATGGTAACCCAAAAGTGTGGAGGAAGGAATGTTGATGGGAGTGGCTGATTAAGGAATTCTGCCGTCTTCTTGTTCATCGACTTTTCCAGGCAGTACAGTATGTCATTAAACAGATTCCTGCCATGCCCAATGTTTCCAACATTTACAGAGCAATTTGCGAGTAAAGACACTAACACTTCAAAGTTTCTTGCTGCTGCACCAAGTTTCAAATCCACTATAGCCGCTCTAAATAAATGTGTTGCAGTTGTTGCATTTTCATTATTGGATTTCAAAGCCTGCTTGTATGCTTCCATGGCAATTTTATGTGTCTCTGAGCCGTTTCCTATGATACACATGTGGTCAATTAGCATATTTTTTTCCCGGTACCAAGTCCTATTATGACCTTTGATTAACAGACTCGCGATTTCCTTTTTCAAGAAAATTCCAGTTGCAAATGTTCCACTGCTTCTTGGATTAAGGATTCGCTGTGCTTGTAATGGAGTTAAATCGGCTAATGTTGGCTTAGCTTTCAGATGAAGCTCATAACATGGCAAACATCTCAGAACTGCACAACCACTTTTCTCATCATAGAACCACTGAATTGGCTTTGATGCCTCAACTAATTCATTGATATTGTTGGCTTTCTTCATTGCAGCAACTTGCCTTCCAGTCTCTGGGTCTTCAAAAACAAGCTGCTGTAAGCTTCTGTGCTTTGCTCCAATATCATCCACCTTTAAACTTAATTTATTTATCTCAGTCATAATGGCATCCATGTCTACGGTGCTGTTCTTCTTTGTTGCATCTAATTTTTCAGTTCTAAAAGATAAAAGTGTACTTTGAGTGTCCATTCCAGATATTTCTATCCCATCCAATGTTTCTTTGTCACTTGATTCTGTCATCAACTGAGGCTCGTTGCTGCATGCTTCCAGGGGTTCCAGGGGCTCTATGGGTGATAGGGCCTCCATGAATTTATTTTCCTCACTTTCAGTATTTGATTCAAGTTCATCAAGGTATTCTTCGTAGCTTGGCGTAGCTAATTCTAGATTGTTTTTGCCTTGAGCTGCTGCAGTGCTATGTACCGGGTCTATTGAAATAATCTGTGATGAAGTTGTACTGGTGTTTCTTTCTTCAGGTGTAGTGACTTCTGATACGTTCTGTTTTGCATATTTTAACTTCAATGAACTCACTTCTTTTGCAGCTGTTGGAACAATTGTGCATAACTTCGATCCAGGAATGCTGTGCCATCTATTTTTATGACGTTGAACAGTTGAATGATCTGTTCTGCATACAGATGTATATCTTTCATCCCTTTTTCCTTTCAAGTGTAATTCAAAGCATTGCAAGCAAGTAAAGCTGCCCTTTTCTGACGAGATTTTTTGTCTCTTTTCAGGGATAACTTCTTTGCTACTACTTGCACATCCTTTCGCCCAGGACAAAATCACTTGTTTCTTTCCTATACTTTGCTGTCGACTTTGTTTCTGTTGATTATCTGAAAAACGTTAATTGTTATATTTTATTCATTTTATTCCCGCTATTCATTAAAAGCGATCCCTCTTTTTCTTGGGCAATTCAAAAATAATATGAGCTAATTAGATTAAACCAAAATTAGTCTTTGCTTAGCCAGCATTTCATTCCTTACAAAAATGTGCGTGATTAAGAAGCCATAGAAGCATAGAAGTGAAGGTGTAAGAAACCAAATTAACCGAAACGTTTATTATGATTGCAAAATAGAGAAAAATCTAAAGCCCCCCTCCACATTAATTGGCCTTAGGGGCCATTCAAACAGTACTTGTGCTCAATATCCATCGATTTTGGATCTCCCTCCCTACTGTTTGCTTTTGTACGGTTTGGAGGTTGCCCCTCCCTCGAGCGTAAGTACATACTTTTAAGTCATCAACTTCTCCCCTCTTGATTGTTTGAATCTATCACTTATTGCACTTGTTTAAAGTTTGCAAAATCAAGTACATACACAGGAAAATTAAAAACCTACCGTTTTCATCAATATCCATTTCAATCCATGTAATATTCTAACGGAACGCAAGTTCTTGGCTTTGCCTCTTCATTTAATATTGAGACCACATGACAAACGTTCGAAAATGTGACAGTACTTCCTTTTTGTGACAGTACTTCCGTTTGAAAGTGTCATCCCAACTTCTGTCGGGAAACGCCTTATCTATATGGACTCACCAGGGTGCATATAATACTCAGCATGCTCCTTGACATGATTTTTCCTTCTTTGTGTCGAAATACGGACCACAGAACCATGGACCACGGAATAACGAAACTAATATAGAAATCAAAGAAAACACCTCGCAGAGGAGATTAGTTAAGCATATCAAATCATATCTCGGCGATGCGCCACGCCGTCACGCCGTTTTCTGTCAACGATACGCCAATAATTCTAAACAAGTCATTGATATTCGGGGTTTTCTGTCGCTGACACGCTAAAAAACAGAATTTTTTTTTTCTACGCCAAGGCATTTTTCTTAGCCCACGCCGGACATATTCGGGCCTACCTACATGAAATGCACCCTGGCCCCCTAATGGTAACAAGTTGTGGCAAACAAAATGGCTGTGGGGCCAAAACAAAGTCTTGCCATGTTGATTATGGTAGCAGATAGGATGATGGTGTTCTATAGGTTGCAGAGATTGTCATTTGTCTTGTTGTTATGATTAAAATCATCATTATGATCAAGGTCGCATGCAGCATGGAGGAAAAAATAGCAACTGCTGGACTGCCCTTGCAAAATTTGTTATTTTCTTCATTTTTTATTATTTTGCCCTTTCAGTGTAAATGTTTTAACCCCTTCCCCCAACTTCTCAATCACTAATTAAATCATCAACAGGTCATAACCTTCGACACAAAACCCCCTTGACATTCCAAAAGCCAGAACTACCAATAATGGTATCAGATCATTAAGTTTTCAAAGGCCTAAAATCTGGAATTCACTCCCGGAATCAATAAAGACAGCACAAAATACTAGACAATTTAAGAATTTGATCAAAACTTGGTTCCTTGAAAACAAGTGTGCATGCTCATTTTGCAGTAAATGAACTGTCTTATGCAATCCTTGAATTTGCTTCATGTTAGTCTTAATTAGTGTATATCAGTGGCGGACACTTGGTCAAATATTGGGGGGGGCAGGCCTATTGTTTTAATAAGATGACGTCACATTTCCTATTGTTTTAGAACAAAAGACCATTGTTCTCTAAAGTATTGGGGGGGCGGTCGCCCCCCCTTGCCCCCCCTCGCCCCCCCAAGTGTCCGCCACTGGTGTATATTCACTTTTGTAGAAACTAACATTAAATAATCTACAATTCAATACAATCATCAATGCATTGTTATGATAGCAGCTAAAATGACCTGCTTATAATTAGCTGAGAATGTCATCATTCTTGTCATTGCAGTTATCAGTGCCAATTGTATGATATTGAAGGCTGCACTGGGTTTTGATGTTTGCAAGATTTTTGTATATCATAGCACCAGTATTTTATGTAAAATAAACAGAAAAACAGTTTTACTTTTTAAAAAGAATCTTTAGGCATTGCTACTAACACATGTAAATTAAAAATAATTAACAAGGTTTCATTTTCTTTTTTTGAAATTTTATCTCAGTAATAGTGTCATAACTATGATATTAAAAGAGAAAAGGTGCACTGTGTTGCTGTTTCAAAATATTTTGAAAAAAACTGTTTACAGTTTTAATGAAAAAAAACATATATATATATATATATATATATATATATATACAGTATAAATGCTATTTTTCTGTTAATCTATGTTTATCTTTCTTCAGGAAAACCCCTGCATTTTGCCCTATTGATCGTAGACCTTTATCTAGAGACAAGGTGAGTTATTTGTTGCTTGCTCTGCAAATATCAACATCTAAATGTATGGCTTGAGCTACTTGCAGGTGATTCTTTTTACAGACTTAGGTTTAACCAACCAGACTTTGTGACTCGTGTTTCTGAATACCAATTGGTATCCTAATCTTGAAATTTATTAGCCAGCAACCAGATAAACGGCTTATTTTTCTATACTGTATATACTGTAAATCCTTGAATTGCCCCTCTCAAAAACCCCCCCTCAAATAAGCCCCCACCCTAGAAATACAAATGGTAATAAGCCCCCCCCCCCGTGAATAAACCCCCACTGCTACTGTAAATCCTCAAAATGGCCCCCTTGATTTGTTCATTGTTTCCATCTAAGATTGCCTTTGGTGTTTTATTGAATTACCACAAAAAATTCATACTTTCATACATTCGGTAATTTAATTAAATGTTAATAAAGAATTTCCTATTAAAATATAAGAGGTTGCAAGTTTTTTTTGTTAACTGTCCATGTGATCTTGGTTATCAAGTTGGAAGATGCCCTCAGGCCTGTTGCTATAAAGGGGGCCAAGTGTGGTGTAACACCCTCCTTTAGAATTTCCAAATTTCTTGGCAAATAAAGGAAGGCTCACCAACTTTGTTGGCAGATTGGACTTGGAAATCCCCTTAAGCACAATAGCTAGGGATGGGACTGGGTGCCCTTTCATCAAACAACTGTACAACAGTCCTTTGTAACACTAATAATTTAAATAGACATTAAGGCTTTCAATGCCATTGTGACTTGAAGGCGCTTTGTCCCATCAGTCAGCCAATTAGAGTTAACCAGAGCTGCAAGAAGTATCAGAACCTGGGAGCTAGATCCCGAGAAAAGTGTTTGGTTTGGCGAAAAATTCTCAGCAAAACTTGATTAAAAACATCTTTGGTTTTTCTGTACTTTTTCATAAGAGATTAATAGTTAATTATATCATAGTGTTATAGAATGCTCAAATATAGAAGTTTCTCATTTTTGAAACCTTTATAAAAAAAAATTACTCATTTGTCAAAGTATCACAAAATAATTGTCTTGGAAGCAACCTTCAGTAACTGATAAAGCTGTAGCCTCAAAGTAGCAATTTATGTGTTTTGAAAAGTTCTGTTTTGGATGCTTGATATTAGGCTATGCTTTTTTATCCTAAAAGTCAGTGGCCCAATGAGACAGCTTAGTAACCATCATTTCATGGAGATCTGACAATAAAATTCAACAGAGTGAACTCATTAAATGTAGGATTTAGATTTGATAGACTCATAGCTTGTCACAGAGCTGTTTGATTTTTATTTACTTTTTTGCATAGTTGATTTTTTCCAAAGATAAAAAATGCAATAAACAACAAAATTACAAATTGGAAACTTTCTTTAGACCCAATAAAAGCTCTTGTAGGAAAGAAAAATATTTTGCAGCTCTGAAGTTAACAATCAGCTTTGCAGTGTGTTTATGATTTGAAAGCATTCAGAATTAGTTGTACATTGCCTATTTGATATGTAATAGTCCAACCAATGGGAATCCTAGTGACCATCTGTTGGTATTGGGACATAGTGCCAGTAATGGTATGATGTTACCTTCTAAAGAATGCTTTTGGACTACTAAAACAAAACAATGTTTTGTGATTGCTTAGTTTTTATGTAAATTGAATTTCAACTCACAAGAACTATACTGAGTATTTAAGCAGTTTAGAAGGCAACAGCATACCATTTATTCTCTAAATGAGCTTTTTTATGACAGGTAAATACACAGGTGAGACGTTTATTTAATTATATTAATTTATATCTTAAATTATTGTTATTATTCATAACTCTACATCAATTTTTATCTTTATAGATTTTTCCAGATAAAGCTTGTAAACGAACGATCTTATCATTATTGGTGAGGTGCTATAATTATGGGAATGACTGTAACTGGACAGGAGAACTTGCAAATCTCCAGGTCAGTTTTTTTACCCTGCTATCTGCTTCCAAGCATAAACACTTTTTGTTTCATTCCATAAATCAAAGTTTCCCGGATGCTTTTTCAAAAAATTATGAGCTCTTATATTTTTTGCAGCAAGCATTTAATCATACTTTTATTTATTGCTGGGTTATATTGTTTCTTGTATCTTTAGAAAGATGGTTTCTCTATTCCTACGATTTGCATAAGAATTGTCAAGATATGGTATTTGTTATCCAAGTCTATTATAAAAAACATATATGCTGTGAAAATGCTGTAAAGATGTTTTAAGTTTCAAATTTTTGTGTTCATCCCTGAATATGAAGAAGCACATTATTTAAAGTAACAGCTGTAGTTCAATCATTAGTGAAGTGTTTAATATTTGCTGTTGCGTTGCCTCATACTAGGATACCAAGATAGCCTACCTGCAATTAGTAGGCTAAACCATGTTTAAAATAAAGTATATTCTCTTAAAACCCTGCCTCCCTACCTTATCTGAGTAGTAAATGGGCTGCTCCTCTTCTGAACAATGTGCAGATTCAAAATATTTGAAACCTTTTCTCTTTTTTCCAACATCTCCATCAAATTATAATATTTGAAATAAAAAATCTTAAACAGGGATAAACATCAAAAAGTGAACCTTTCCAATGTATAGAAAATTTATTGTTGCCCCACCCATTATGCCCTACCCCAAATTTGCAGATATGCTGTTAGTTGTACTCCTTGGAAAGTCAAGGGGTGCAATTGCATGCTATTTCTCTTTAAACATAATGAAGTATTTATGAACATTTATTAAAATAACGAGATTTGAAATTTTTACCGATTTTTAAATTATATCCATTTTGAAATGCTATCAAAAGTGGATATTCTCCAAAATAGAGTTTTTTGAAAACATACTGGAACAATGTATACCCAAAAAAACAGAGGTTTTGAAAACTCTCCAAAAAATTCCAAAAACCGAAAGCAGCGTGAACAGTAAAAATCACAAAAAGGAACATTTTGTGTTCAGCTTCTGGGAACAGTGTGAATGCACAAAAGTGCAACATGTAACCAGCCAAAAGTTTTGTATCAAATTGGGAAACTTTTTATGATATCAAATAAAAACGTTATTGTTTAAACAGGGCCAAAGAATTTCTACCTCACTTCTTGGGAAAATGAGGCAGGTGCCAAGGTGCACATGCATGTATCAACATATGACAAGTTAGAAATTGCTAACATAGCTGTGAGAATTTGTGGCAGCAAAATTGTTGGAATTTCTTGTTTCTTTTTAGTGGTAGAGTCTTTGATATTTCACAAATCTTCTTTTGTAACAATATTTTCCATTCATATTCAAGTATTGTCATTTGGCTAACTTGCAGTATTCATGAAAAGACCAACTTAGAAATCCTCAATGTTTCAATTTTATTTGAATGAATGAACCGAGGCAACAGAGTGAGTTTGAAAAATATTTATATTAGGAATGTCCTTGCCCTTTAAACTGTAAAAATTTTCAGTTTCTGTTCATCAAAAGTGGTAATTGGATGCTTATTTCAACAGGATCATCTAGAACCCTGCCAGAAGATCCCAATCAGTTGTGTAAATGAATGTGGGAGAACGGATATTCCAAGAAGTCAGGTATTGCAATTTCTTATCTGTCTTGCTTTATCTAATGTCTTGTTTTAAGCCTGTTACTGCTTGATAGTAAGGACAGAAATGCACCTTGCTCTGTTTATTTTTGGGAAAGACTCTGGACCAACTTGATGGTTAAAAAATTACTCTTGAGTTCAAGCCATAAACATTAACTGCAGGTAATTGCTATAAAAGCATAACACCCAATTTTTTGGTGTAAATGTTTGGCTTATTATATCTTATTAAAGCAAAGTATGATATGGTTCTTCTGCACTTTTCTTTATTGTAAGCTTTTAACTCTCCGAAACAAATCTGTATTGACTGCGCAATGGATCAACGATCGATGTAGGCACTAAATAAATCTATCCATCGACTTACATGTTGTTTCCAAACCATAGGATCCTATTGAACATGTGGAAAACACATTGGCACTGAGAGAGACAGTAGCTTGACAGTAGCTTCCCTGTAGAACTCTGATCAGAACTAACTTGCTTACGAATTAATATACATTTCTTATGTAAAAAACAAAGTGTTGACTAATGATGAGTGGGGATGATTCAATGTGATAATAAGATATCTAGGCATAGAACGGGGAAAGCTGTTTCAGCATAACTTAAAAGAGCAGAATTGAAAAAATTGTAAAGGGGATGTCATGTGGTATGCAATCCCGTGAATGACGTTAAGAGATGTCATGGTGATGGCATGATCAGTGAATGAGTAAGAATGTGGTCTATTCACAATATTAAAATCATTACGAATCTGTTTCTCAAACCCCAATCCAATTTTATTTTCAGAATTTATTCCTTGTCAGTTCCAAAGTCAATGAGACAAACTCAGTTGGGAAAAAATTTTAGAGACGAATGCAATACCATTAGTAGAACTAGCCATCTTCTTGGTTGATAAGAATTAGCTTCGGCAATTTAGGGGTGAAAGGCGTTCAAACAAGAAGAAGGACTATTGCTGGTGACTTGTACAGAAAAAAACAGTCATGGCAACGGCAGAAAACAAATAAAAAAACAAAACTACAAATAAACAAGCAAAAAGCTATTTTTATTCACATTTTGTTTGAAAAGTCAATGATGAGGTGGGGAGTTCAGCTTCAAAAGGAACGAGGGATGCTTTTGTTTCAGGGCACTGTTGCGTCAGTGTCCATATATTTCTCGGAGTGAAGACAATTCATTTTTCCCTTTTATTCGAAGATAATCGTTGTCCCTTTATGCAGGTGGCAAAAAGAAATTAAAGGCTGTCCTCCTGGAAGTTGTTTTTCTTAACTGCGGCAGCAAGATTAATTTATTGTTGACGCCTTTTCAAATTTGCAATTTAAGATTTCAACCATTAGGGATATAGGTGTTATGGTATTGTCTGGCTGGCCTCAGTAACCTTTCGTCGTCTCGTGGGCTGCTGTGTGTTGTTTTGAATGCATTGACTGCAATGCTGACTTTTTCGTACATTCAAAATGGTGCATTGATTAGCAGCTTTGGAAACCTCTGAGAAAATGAATGGTTCTTAGCAAAACAGCAAAATCATAGAATGTTTGTGAATTTGCAAAACATATTAATTAGTAATGGCGCAATACCACCTGCTGTTTTGCATTTTATTTTGATTATTTGAATACCTTACTAAAATTCCAGACCTAAATCCTGCATGCTGATGTAACAATATTTTATTTAAGACACTAATTCAGCAGTCCTTTTCCGAAAGATAAGCAAATTGCTTCAATATGGTGCGGGAAACCACCTAACTGCGTTTTTCTTTGGTATGTATTCCTATTTCGATGTAATTTCACTGGTCCAGACATATTTAGCGTTTTAAATTCGGCATCTTATTCGTGGCTTATCTCTATTGAAAGAAATACTCGTAAGCAATTCGTAGGTGATGAGACTTATTCATTTTGATAGCTGATAGAATCAGTTGCTGAAGAGGGAATTGAAAATATATACCGCATGTTTTCTTGCTGTGGGTTTGCTGTGAATGTGAGCAATTTGGGCAGTGGCGTAGATTTACGTTCGAGACTACGAGGGTTGGGGTTCATCAAGAGTGAAATTTACCGACAAAGACAAAGATTAAGACAAGTTTATGTGCATTTTCACCTAACGTTGGGCGATTTTGCCGACCAAGTAACGATTCTGTGGACTGTAGATTTACCAACCAACTCATGAAGAATAAGAAGGTGTGAACCATCCCCCCACGCCCCCCCCATACGCACACACACACACACACACACACACACACACACACACCCTCGCTAGCTACGCCCATATCTTTGTACCTTGTTATAGAATATGTCTTTTGACATTAAGCAACATATATAGCCATGCAATAATAGAAAACACTAAATTCTCTTATAGCGAAGCTGTATCGGTTTGTTGAACCATGGTTGAACAATTAAGATGAAATCAATTGAGATACGTATATATCCCCCACTCGTTGTTGCATGGCTTTATCTGCATCAACGACCTGTGTTTATTGACGTACACCCGGCATCTTTCTCCTACTTCATCAAGGATCATCAGCAGGGAGACTGTTCAGCCTCAAACCTCCCGGGAATGTACGGTTTGTTTAGGAGAAGCTTTGCTTGCTTTGGTTGGGAGTAGAAGCTTTTGTTGTAAAACTTGGAACAAAGAGTTCCAGTTGTTTTTGAAATGTACAATGATAAGTTCTTGGACAGTTGTGGATGCGGCAGTTGCAGTTATGGTTGCAAGAGTTAATCGTAAAGAAATTAATTATTTATGCGCTAAGTAAGGTGACGATTATTCTGCATGGTTGAGTTTCACAATTTTTATCGGAGCTGCAGTTTGAAGATTTTGTTTACGTAAATCGAATGGTGATGATTAATAATGAATACATATTAAGTTGTAAATTTATCTGGTAAAGTCGGGAAAGCAGAGTTTGAGCTGGTTAGCTCTTGGTAACTTCTATCAAACTGCAATGAATATTGTGACTGTTGAAGTTTCAAAGCCGTTGGAGGTCGATGTGGTGAAGCTGACAAAAGATGGCAAATTTCGCAGAAATGGAGCAGCCGAAATAATGAATTCGGCCTTTGCTCAGTTGCAAATGAGGTTGAAAAATTCGAGCCATGAAAAATTTGAAAAAGTGAGTAATTATAAAAATATCCGATTAGAAATGAGACATGGCTGTCGAGAAACTAGCTCTGTCATAACAACACGAGATAACAAATCTGGCAGCAAATGTGCCACGTTTTTCGGTCTGTTCTTTTCTATCATCTTCGACATTCTATCTGGTAGAAACCTTTGAAGGAGTGATCGGCAAATATGAAGCCTTGGCATCTCTAGAAATGCTGCCTTTTTAGAGATGAAAGTTTGATAGAGGTCGTATTATTTCTCTAGTTGAGCAAATCTGCTTGCAATCACAATTCATGAGCCACTGTAATTTGTACTTAAGGTTTTTGCAATCTTGGGTTTATTATTTACGGAAATAGTGTGCTTCTTTATACAGGCATTCAGTTGTTGAAGAGAGAATTGAAAATAGTTACCGCATACTTTCTTTCTGTGGGTTTGCTATAAATGGTAGCGTTTCGGGGTTTTTTAGAAAGAACATGCTTTGACAATTTAGTCACTTCAATTGGGTTTTGGACCAGTTGGTTTTTTATTTAAAAGAAATGGTGCGAATTGTGCACAGCTTTCTTTCATGGAATGTTTTTTTAGTATCATAATATAGCAAAGCTCAATTCTCATTTACTGTTTAGCCTGGCAAAACACCAATGTTTTTGTTCCAACTAAGATTCCGCAGTTTCTGAAAGGAGTCCGTTGTTCCGACAATTGATTGAGTTCAAGGAAAGGCGGACAGGGAATTTCATTAATAACAAATACCATATCTTTTCAAGCAAAACTCTTTTTAACTTAAAGAAAAACATTTTGTCAGTCTTTGAATTGCATTGTGTTCACAGCATGTGCTAGGAAAGGTTCGGTACGTCACATGTAGAAATATTCCGAACTGATATGTCCCTTTTGGTCTTGTGCCATATCTATCCAAACCAATTAAACTTTCTGGTCCAGCGGTCTTGAGTGGGTCATATCAGTCTGTGCGTAAAGTGAATAAACGGTTTACAACGCACCCAAAGTGTAATAGTTGTAAGATGTATACTTATTAATTACCGCTATTTTATTACCTCTTTGCGCCAGAAGGTGGATGGAAAAATATCGCAAATGGTCTAACTAAAATGTTACGCTTCCCGCACTTCCCCAAAATTTGGAAAGGAAACGTGTAATGAGTCATTTGATTTTTACTCAACCTCACCAAGGCATTAAAAATTCCCATTGCGAGTTGCGGTTTTGCGAATGACATTATGTGATTATATGTGATTCCACATCAGTAATTTCCATTGAAATGAAAAGAGGCAAAACACACGGCTTTTGTTGGAAAGTGTGACATCAGTTTGTATATGAAAAGTACTATTTAAACTAGTAATAGCTCTTGCTAGTACTGCCCGCAAACAATTAGTTCTTTGATAATGATTATTTTGAAAATTTAGGTCAGGACATTCGAAGAAGACACCATCTTGGGTTTTCGCAATTTTATAAAAACAGCTGCTCTAGTTGAGGCTAAACTATTCTTTTTATCAAGAATTTTTGGTGTTCAGTTTGCCTTTTGAAAATCATGAAGTTTTTCGAGGGTTCGATATTTATTTTTCGTTTTCGTGAAGTAAACAAAGACGTATGAAAATGGACACGTGATAGAACGGGTACAGCTAAAATCGATTGCGGTAAAGGATTCGTACAGCGATGTACAGGCGATAATCATGACAATCATAACTTTTGCTCGTACGGTCTCAAGTTTTTGGGAAAAAGGTGTGACATTCGACTGGTTTTGATTCCCAAAACTTCGAATCAAAACTTCCATCCATTGCGGAGAACCGAGCTGTGATGCAGCACCGTTTTCGTGCCAAAAAAATCGAAGGCCTTTAGCAGAGTCTTGGCAGAGCAACGCTCTGAAGATAATTGCCTTCCGCATAAAGAGGTGACAGTTAACGACCTCCTCGACGACTGATTGACAATGAAATTGATTGACAGTTGTCATGGCAGCAGAAAAGTGACAAAATCTGCTGACAAAGTGCTGACAACATGAATTGAAGCTTCCATATGCTACTTTTACGCGGAGCAGACTATAAGCCCTTCACTCGCGCGCGAGTTGCGGGCAATAAAGGAAGGTACTACAATGGTTAGCCTATTAAGTGCCCAAAGGGTTGTGCGTGAATGCGAACGGCGGAGAGCAATCACCTATTATTTGAAAAAAAAAGCAAAGAAGCTACCTACCTTACGCTTAGGGTCAAACTGGCCCAGTCGATGTCATTTTGTTCTAGATTAGCGCCACAAGTAACTTGGGTAAAAGTGATTTCTTCAGAAAATGTTTATGCTGGGAAATGATTTAATTCCTTTGTCTATCTTATTATAATTATCCTGGAGGTTGGGTGAAGTTCTAAACCCGAAAAGTGAAATCTTCTCTTTGATTTTTCAAAATTATATATTGTATCAGAATGTCTGTGCAATTTTTGTTCTGTGGTTTGAGTAAGTATTTCTTTCTTGTGTTTGTTTCTTTTTTTCCCGTCACTTTTTAGACAGATCTTACTTATTACATCATCTTTATTGGTCGTGATCGGTCGATCAAATTTCAGTTTTTGTCCAACGATTAACCAATCATTAGAATATTGTTCTTTTTCCCCTTTTTGTTAGAATAGGCTTCGTTTTGTGGATTTTTCTACTCTAGTGTCAGAGAGAAACCCCCTATAGAATGTTTTGTAAGTGACTCTGGAGGGTGGTCTCTGAAAAGCTGGGATTGCGAGGTGATTTTTATCAGCTTTTCGCAGACCATTGTCAACCAGATACTTTTTTTATTTTGAATAAAACTTTACTCACCTGTACGTTTTTGTCTGCTTAACTTTTTTATATCTAAGCCATTCCTTGCCTTTTTCCTAGATGTCAGCACATATTGATGCTGAAGGTGACTGCCCGCTCGCTGTAGTTCCTTGCAAGTATCATGATTTCGGTTGCAAGTATAAGGTGGTTATTTCTCATGTTCCTTTTGCATCGAAATGCCGTCAAGGATAGGCCTTTTACACTACACTCTTTTTTATAAGAACCAGTAAATTTTAGTTCAGGCTGACTGTTCTTAATTTTTGCAAAATCTGAGGCTGGATTGTTTCTAATTTGTTCTTAAATTAAGAGGGTGTAAGCAGTGCTATTGCTAGCTTTTTCGCTCTAAGTCGGTGTTCAGGCCTCATTTGCCAACAAAGTAAGTGAGGCAGCCTTAATTTGCTGACAAATTTGAATATTCACCGAAAAAGCACCCACATATCGCTCAAAATCCTCGATTTTGAGAAAAAACGTTGTTCAAAGTTGCATTTTGCAGAAGCGCAGCCTCAGCTTGTTCTTAATTTATTCTTAACTTTTGACCAGTTTTGAGGCTCGTGTTTTTATAAAATTTTTCTTATAAAAAAAGAGTGTATGTTAAAAAGCTGTAGAGAAATATGTATTTTAAGGCCTAAAATTTGCTGTGACGCCAGCGAAACATGAGATAATTGTTTTTAAGACGTAGGTTAAGATGCGCAGTTGGATATAAACTTCAGCTGAGGAACACAAAATTTCATTTAAAATATATAAGTACCATTGCAATAAGACAATCAAGTATTCTACTAGACGTTCCAATAAAATAAATTCTGACTAGGCCATGTTTGTACATGTTTGTACTGTGACTACGTTATACAAAGTTCGAGTATGACGTAGCTTGTCTCATCTTCAGCCAAATGAAGAATTAAAGGCGTGGCTTGAATAGATTTCATATTAAATCTTCCAATACTGATGCAAGCAAATATCGATCAAAAGACAACTTAATAAGGAAATGCCTTTAAATTAACTGAGTCAACAATTAAGTCGAATTTGTTTTTGTATGACACTGCAGTTTTTTTACAAGGATAAACTTTGTGATGTGATATATAACTAGATTGTATGAGTTTTCCTGTAATGAACACTGGAAAACATAGAGATTTTTATCTAAATGGTTGTCCTTTGGGGTCTAGGGTCGTCGAGTTGACATGGAGACGCACGTTTCGGAAACGATTCAGCAGCATTTAGATTTGGCCCATGTGCGTATTAAAGAACTCGAGGTTAGACAGGAAAATATCTGCATGAATGGTAAATTTTTGTGGAAAATTTCAAATTATTCGCAACTATCACAGCAAGCGCAGACAAAGAAAGAAAAAGAAAAGTTATGCAGTCAGCCGTTTTATACCGGCCAATATGGATACAAACTGAGAGCAGAAGCATTTTTATGCGGTTTAGGTCAAGGAAAAGGCTCACATTTGTCTTTGTATGTTGTAATTATGAAAGGTGAATACGACGCCATCTTGCCATGGCCCTTCCAACAGCGTGTCGATTTCACCCTGATTGATCAAGACGATGACCCAAATAATCGACAAAACAAGGTGTGGCGTTTGTCATGTGATCGCAACAGCGACTACTTCAAAAGGCCGAATCGCTCAAAGAGCCTCGGTTTCGGTTGCCCGAAATTTGTTTCCTTGGATACCCTGAGAACTGCTCGCAACTACGTGCGCGATGATACGATATTCATTAAAATAGAAGTGGAGCCGACAGAGACATTAATTTGAGATTTTTCTATGGTTGAAATTTGTTTTGGTAGAGTACTATTGTTGAAACATCTAAAAACACGTTCTTTATCAACTAGCAGCACTAAAAGATATTGTAATTATTTGTATATTCGTCAATATTCTTATTAAAGTTAAGTAATTATTGCGTATTTTATTTTAAGTTCGGCAGCAGCCATGACTTTTGGTTTTATGTTTTTGAATTTTCCAAATGTAAATACTTAGTCTGATATTAATCTTGAATTACCGGATATGTTTTGAGTTTCGATGTCAAGCTCTTACAGCGAACAGATAAAACCTCAGTCCCATTGAAAAGTCACTCCACCACCACAAATATACTTTCATCCCCCGTCTTTATTGATCAATCATTCCCTCCATCTACATTAAACGAGTGTTCCCTCACCCTACACTTTACGGTCATTCCCGGGCGTTCCCTCAACCTACATTAATCACCAAAATTTAAGACGAGATCATTTTCGGAGAAATTCACGATCCTAACCTTTTTACCATCCGAAAATTTTTACTGCCAAATTTGAGCGCAGTGTTCAAGTTTAGAAAGAGGATTGCAAAACATATAAGACACTAAATAGAAATAGCAAGAAAGTGTGAAAATGTTTGTTTCGTTGGCTGTTTGTTAAAAATGCCTGCCAAGTGTAGTTTGCAGACATCGAATACGAATACAGCAGAATGCCTATTTGGTCCGAAATTTATGTCCGAAATCAAGATTTTTTAGTCTAAATTTTTTTGTCCGAAAGTGGAACGTCCGAAATTAAACCGTCCGGCATTTTTGGGGATCAATGCACATTGAATGGTTATTCCCTCCATCTATATTAAACTGCTGTTTCTCCACCTACATTTAACGGGCTTGCGTGTTCATATTGCTGCTAGGCAGGTCTACAAGTATTAGTTACTGCAGTGTTTTTCAACCACTTTACCGCAGCACACTATTGTGCCAAGCGATATCGTCTGGTGTGTCGTTGATATTTATTAATGTTTTTATTTGGATTAATTTGTTTCTATTCAAGACACTTCGATGAGACCGACTTAATATTGTCAAGATAAAATAAGGAACTAGTTCCTTATTTTATCTTGATATTGTGAATAAAGGCCGCAGACTTGCATTTTTTTAACATTCGCTATTGATGGTATGCCTCGTGGTTTTTCAATGAAAAGTTGTGCCGTGGAACAACAAATGTTTAAAAACACTGAGCTATCGTTTGTTTTCCATCCCTTCAAGAGGGACCTCATGATTCCTTTTTTAATGTTGAATGGCAACATTTTGGAAAAACAATTCGTGGTTTCTCCACATTAAAGGCATTTTTAGGTCTTGTGTATCCATACCATATTTAATTTAATTTCTCTTTGCGTCTCAGTATTTAGTTTTGATAACACAACATTATTTACTTTTTTAATGTATTTAGAGATAATAAAAACTTCAGTTAAATAGAAAAGACAAAAGTAAAGTAGTAAGCAATAAAGGGCAAATATAACAAATCTGTAATTACAAATATGCGAGTAGTTGCATAGAATAAGACGAAGTGACCTGCACGGAACCTGATTTTGATTGGACAGAACTTAGATTTATTCTGAGACAAAAAGCTGTGACTGCAATGCTTAGTGTTTTTTGCATCAACGACAGAACTGTCTAACTGAGAAACGAGGATGCTTGTCTACCGCAGAAGTTGCGACCAAGCTTTGAATGGTTTTGGATGTTATTGGCTTAATCTCATCTCATCTAACATGATGAAATTAAGAAAGAAAAGTGACTTCTTTTTTATGATTTTAAATTATGAAAGTAAAGTAACTTGTAAGTGTATGTGTTTTGATTTTGTGTATGATAGAACAAGAATCACTGCTCCGTCCGCTGTAAAAAATTCCTCCAATATTCCATCAGCATAAAATCCTCTGTAATAGTATATTTCAGCACTCTGCATCACGGTTTTGGTTAAAAATATACAGTGTGATTTGGCTTATACATTTGACATATATAAATCAGCTTATTTCATTAGCTAAATCATTTCATATATTATCTTGTTTTAATGAAGGCACCCGTTAGCCTCTCTGTAAACACAAACGTAAAATTTATCTATCATAAGGGACTGAGCAAAAGATGACTTGGCACCATGCTAACATCAAAAGTTTTCTACTTTTATTAATCTGTTTAGAATTGTCCCTAACTCTTTGATTGCCTCAACAACCATCATTCGTGTGTTTTCTTCAGACATTCTTACTTGCTCTAGCAACTCGCAGTGTTGCGTGTGCATTTCACTGAGTAGCTCTGTTTGCTTCGTGAGAATTTGACACAGCTTCTCATTTACAGTTTCTGTAGACCCAGCCACCCTTGACCGCTTCTGTCTACCTTCTCCATTTTCGTCATTATCATAATCATGATTTTCGTCAAGTTGTCGCTTTCGGTATCCAGTTGAAGCCTGCGACGGTACAGAGTAACAGTCAATGTAATTGTCAGGAGTTTTGTTTTTGTCTTCATTTCTCGAAGGCCCTGTTTCAACAGCGTGTTTGTAAGTTACAATTTCTGCCTCGATATTCGTGGCAGTTTCTTTTGCAGAATCTTGTCCTAGATCGTTTCGCGTCTGCCTATTCGGGTCAATCTGTGCCTCATCTTGCCTACCCACGTGCTCTTTTTGGCCTACAAATATGCTTGCATCTTCATCATCACAGGTCAGATGATTCCCTTCCTGTTCAACATTCATCGGCAAATCGCTGCTATCCTCGTTCTTTAATACCTTCTCAATGGCTTCAAACAAGGCTGCCCTCTCAGGATGATCGCATTTGTTATACTTGTGCTTCTTAATCATGTTGTTCCATTTGTCTTTACATTGCATCCAAGACTTCATCGAAGCTTGGGGTAATTTCTTCTTGCTTTCATTGTACAGCTGATCAGCAATCGACTCCCAGATCTTTTTGTTCATTTTTCTAAAATGCTTTCCCAAAGTATGTTGTCCGTATGTTTTTACGAGGAGGTCTTCTTCAAGATAGCTCCACGACGCACGTGGAATCTGAAACTGCGATGGCATTACATTGCTGGGTGTATTCAGGTTCTCTCTGTTGTTCGATGTGACGTCATTAGTATTTTGTTTTGGTGATTGAGTCCCGGTGGGGTTGACTATGTTGCGGACTCCATTTTGAATCGCAGCATGGGCCACCGGCATTGGCGAAATTGCAGGCATTGGCATCGGGCTCGGATGCATACCTGCAGGTACTTGCCCAATCATTGGTGGTGGCTGATGCTGTTGCCCCTGGGAAAAGCCTCCATAGCCGGGATGTGGGGCGTAGTATGGAACCCTGTAGCAGAAAAGAGATACATCAAGGTATCAAATTGTTATAAGCACACCTAGGACATTGGAACGGTGTTGTGTTGATGTGATGGGTTTGTACCACTCATTATTCTCGCAGGTTGATAGAAAACGAATTAATGTTTCGGTGGAATTTACATCGATTGCATTTATGTTAATTTTTTTTATATAAGAAACAAGTAAAATGAGATATCCAAAACTGTGGATTTTCTTTGCACGCAACGCAAACGCTATTGCACGCAAACGCTAAAAAAATTTCACATGCCTCACAAATTCGTTACTAGTATCTTAGGTAAAGTGTGAGAAAACAAAAAATATGAAATAAGAATATTTTCCGCATTAAAAATTTCACATTCAACCCCAAAATGGAAAACAGAGGTTATAAAATTAAACTTTTAAGAAACAAAGAGCGCTGATTTTTGCTGAACCTGGAGTACAAAATGCCGATATTTGCTTATGGCGAAAAATGAGCGTATCGTGTTTCAGATTCGCATGAAATAATTCTTTAACACGTAAACGACACTCGGTCAATTGCTTGTGAAGCTTTCCACGATATGTAAGATTGCAAATTTCAGCGAACAGCAAAAGTTAATTTTCAGTGCAACCGTAGAGATAGGAATGAGTGCAATTTTTTTATTGAATATTAACCAATAAAAAACCGGAACAACAAATAAACTTGACCTTCCCAAATATTTGTGTAAAAAGTTAAAATCAGCTTTAATTAATTTAGATAGATAAATCTGTACATTACAAAAAATTTATTGCATGGGCCCTGACCCAGGTTGAAAAGTGGGGGGGGGCAAGAGAAAATTGAGCCCCCGTAGCAAAAAGGTTTGAAAAAAGCTCTATTGTTCTGTAAAAGTTTTGGGGACCATGGCCCTCGGGAAAGTTGAAAGCCCATAACAAATGGTTTGAAAAAGGTTTATTGTTTTGCAAAAACTTTGAGGGACCATGGCCCCCGACAAGGGAAAATTGAAGACCCACAAGAAAAAGTTTTAAAAAAACTCTTTTGTCCTGAAAAAGCTTTGGGGACCATGCCCCCCCCCCCTCCGAAAAGGGAAATTGAAAACCCATAACAAATGGTTTGAAAAAAGCTCTATTGTTTTGCAAAAATTTTGGGGACCATGACCTCCTGACCCCTCCCCCGTCATTTGTTGGCCCTGCATTGGACCAAAGTCCAAAACTAAAATAGCGTCAGCAAAAGTTTGGCCAGTGAGGCTAGAGAGGGCAAGAGGAGGCTTGCTTTACATTGCTAGCCCCTTGAGTTTAGGATCAGTGCTGAATAAATCAAACAATGAGGTCGTAGTAAGCTATGGTTTCTTGAACTGAGATGCGCAACTTTGGAACTTTGAATAAAGTTATTTGCCCCACATAAATGAAATTAACCTTGTTTTATTACCATTGTTATTCATATGAGTTAAACTATGTTGAAACAGATGCTTCTTGATTTTTTATCGACAAAGGTAATAAACAGCAAGAAACCCAATTAACTAGGACGCTACTCACAACAGTGCCAAACACAAGACTCGCGTTAATACTCACATAAAAACCTGAGGCATGTATTGTCCTGCGTTTCCCCCACTGTTGCTGACAGTATGATCCTTGTTATTTTCTGAACTCATTGGTTTCTCGTTAAATTGTAACGCTGAACACTGAAAACTTTGAAAACCGAGGTTGATTTGAAAACCACGTCGCTGTAAAAACACCTGCTTTGCGAAGTTTTTCTGTTGACCAAACCATACGGTGTTACGGTTGATAGGGCAAAAACAAAGGTCAGGGGAGTTACTGGCTGATTTACGATCGTTGATAACAATAGTCGCCAGCAGCCCTTTGTGTTGGCAGGTGATAATCGCAAAGTATGATGACCACAGAGGATCGCCGCTGTGCAGCATTGTAATGATGATAAATAATGAATTCGAAGAACCGCGTGGTCGAGCCAGGAAGGTAACTAAAGTGTTCAATTTTCCAGGAAAGAAAAGAGAGAAAGGGAGAAGGGAACAAGGAAAAGAAGGAGAATTTACTTCTTAATTTTTTAAAATTCTTTTTTCAACACGATATCCCAGTGGAAAACTAAGTACAAGTTATGATAAGCTATAAAAACTAATAATGAAAGGCAAAAATTTAAAATTTATTTAATAATATGAATGAATTGAATTTGACGTCTGAGGTTTCCTGAGCCCTTCAAATGAGCTTTTAATTTTCGTTTTAATTTTCGTTTTAATTTATAGAGCGAGGGGATCTCCCTTAGTTCTATGGGTATTTCGTTCCCTTTTTGTACTCTCAAGCTTAAATTATGGGGTGTGGAGATTTCTATTGTTTCTTGTGCTATCACTAGAAATTTCAGTCCTCTGATTATACTTGTTCCAGAGGCTCTCAGGGCACTGCTTATTAACTATTTTGTGTGTGATGATAGATCTATCAAAAGAGATGATCTGATCAACGCTTAGCCAGGGGTCCTTTTGTTTGGCATTTTCAATAATTGAGTCTGTCCTATCCTGTTGTATAGTGTTGTAACGAGAAGGGTTATTGTTATGACAGTGAAGTGAAGAACCAGTTAAAAACCAAGCTCGTTAGAGGAGCGATGGGCTAGGCCAACGGGCCTAAGCCCCAAATAGATAGCATACAAGAGATACTACTTCTTTGATGTTTCTAACTTGGATTACATTATATTGAACACAAACAAAGGAACACTGTGAAACATCACATAACACGATGACAGTGACGCACATTTCCCGGAAGGGAGTTACTAACACAACAGCGCGACAAACAAACATGTGACATTAACACGCAACAGAATCAAGGAACCTAGTCAATAAGTGAAGTAAGGCCTGGTTCAAACGTCGCACTTCTCATGTGCCGAACCTAACTCTGTTTGGAGCGACACTTGAGCATGTTTAGCGCGACTCCCGTTTCAAACGTCGAACTTAATTATGTCGCGCCAATTGGGTTTCAGGATTGTTACATGAAGTATCTTGGTTAAGGCGCGCAATCTCAAATATTTGTTTGAAACGCATGCGCCCTCCAAGAAAGAAATGAATTCTGGGAAGGAAAGTAAATTAAATATAATTATGCATTGAGTTCGGTACATGACAAGTTCGACGCTTGAAACCGTGCCGTGCTGGAGTCGTGCAGCTCGGCAAGCTCTGCTGATCCAAACTAGTCTGCCGCTCCTAACTCAATCTGCCGTACCAAATTGATTCAAACGTCGCGCCCCTCATGTACTTAATTCTCGAGTTAGGTTCGGCACATGAGAAGCGCGACGTTTGAACCAGGCCTAAGTGAAGTTTACAAATCCTAAAACGTTACAGTGTAGTAGCCAAGGCCTCTGAAACGACGATCTTGCGCAAATTGTGATAACATCATGAAAATCTGCACAACTACACAGTTTGATATGCTTAATAAGATGGGGTCGGGACCCAGTCTGAGAAATGCCCCTAAATGCTACTTTTGAAATGCTTGATTGTTCCCAGACTCCAAAATTGATAACCTCTATAACTTTGTTGAAAAAGAAATTAATGTCATGAGAATTAGTACAAATGCTAATCATACCACACGATAATGTGATTTAGATTCACATCCATCATCAAAATGCTCCCAAATGCTATTTTTAGGCCATATACTCGTTCCCAGACTTCTAACATGCTAATCTCTACAACTTCGCTAAAAATGACATGAATAACAAGCAACTTGATTAAGATACTAATGATAACAATGCAAAACAGACTTTAAGACCCCGTTCACACTGCTCCGAATTCATATAAAAATGGATAAAAAAGAATCCGTTTGTGCCTTGCGTTCACACTGCTCCACCTTGAAAACGGAGTCTTTTGAAAACGCACTTTGAAAACGGAGACTTTTGAAAACAGAGGCTTTTGAAAACGCAAAAAACGTATTGTGAACACCGAAAACGGATACTTTTGAAAACGCTAACAACAACAACAACAACAACAACAACACAGCGAGATACTTAGACCGCACCAATTTGAAAAATTTTTGTAAACCAGTTCGTGGCGTTTTCCTTTTTATCCAGAGCGAAGCAGTGTGAACGCTTCATCGTTTTCATACCGTTTTCAAATGTATCCGGAGCAGTGTGAACAGGTAAAACGGATCGATACAGAAACGGATTAAATTGAATACGGAGCAATGTGAACATGGCCTAATTCGCACCCGTCATGGCAGTGGTCATGAAATATCAAAACTGGGGAAGGATTTAACTTAACTTTTCACTTACCCTGCTTCAGGGCCTCGGACAAAGGGGGGGCCGGGGGCCTTGGCCCCCCACTTTTTTGGAAAACAATAGAGTTTTTTCCAAAATCTTTTGCCATGGGTTTTAAATTTTCCCTTGCCCCCCCCCCCCACTTTTCAACCTTTGTCGGAGCCCATGTGCTGTGTATACTGCCAGCAATGTGCAAATTTAGGTAACGAACTATTGTATCAACGCATGCAGGGTCGTATTTTAAGGCATCACAGCCAAAGGGGGCATCACATTGTCGAGAAATGGATGACAAGAAAAGAAAAATTTGTAAACAATGTGAAATTGGCAAGCTGATGTTAATTGATCAAAATATTTTGTTTCTTGGTCAGGTTATGTTCCCTAGTAAATGTAAAATAAATCGACAAAACTATTACAGACTGATATAAATTTTCTGCTTCTTGATCAGGTTACCAAAATAAGGACCGCTAGCGCTTTGCACTCTGGCATCTGTTGGTCAATATGATCTTTAGCAAAGTTACATATTACCTGTAAACTCTGTGTCTAAGATGCAATGTGTACGGTATCTGTGATATTCCACTGCATTATTAAGAAGATACCAACCATCTTCTTTGATTCGTTTTCTAAATTTTAGATCAGCAAGGTCTACCTTGGCTTTTCCAGCTCACGTTTGGTGTTCTGTTATCGAATCCTTTGGTAATTGCATAGTGATCTCCTACACCTCTAAGGTTGTTTATTTTGTCTGGCAGGAAATTTCGTCATCCTAAAAACCATATGTTTGGTTTGCAACGCACTATTATTAGGTGGATTGGCAGCATTATCTCTGGTAGGTCTAATGTCATGATTTCTTGGTGTATTGCTGTCATACCTGGGTTGGCGCTTTAAATCTTTTCTATGCCTTCTCCACAAAACCTAAGTCCTTACAGTAAAATACTATTAATTTCATCAACAACTGCAACTTTTACAAATCTCTGCAACTTCATTCTCTTCGGCGTTGTATTGCTAACCAATCCATTTTTCACAGTTATTTCCATACACATTGCTACCAGGAGATCTGATCTTTCATCCATGATTCCCCAAGATATACTCCGAATCTTCCTCGTCTTTCCTTTCTAGAGCTTGTAAACTTTGAAAAGTTTTGGAGCGCCCTTCTTGCACCCCAGATTCTTATAACCTATCTATTTTCAAAACCAAAATCAATAAACCTGATAATATCATCTTCCCTTTTCTTAGCCTTGAGTCATTGGTAAAAGGAGGGGGCACCAAGATTGGTGAGTGCTTGGGGCCAGTGGCGGATTCAGACCGGGTTCCAAGGGTTCTGGAACCCTGTCAAATTTTCCAAAGACACATAACATCAGTTTTCCCTTTACTTTCGAATTAATCGCAACCAGTCCCAACGTCAAATGGCCTCTTGTACCAAAACCTTTGCTGCTCTCTAAATATGGTATTGTGAAAGAAAGGAACCCTGTCGTAGCCATGGTTATCTTTTGTAACATATTATATTCCTCTAAAGAAAGGAACCCTGTCGTAGCCAAGGCAACTCTTTGTACCATATTGTATTTTTTAAGAAAGGAACCCTGTCGTAGCCATGGCAATCAATTGTCTTGTATTGTTTTTGCTACAAACAAAAGAACCCTTTTGGAACCCATCTCACGAACTCATTGGAACTTATTTAAACCGCTGACCATACATGCTTCCTGTTGTCATAATGGCGACGTGAAGCTGCGAGTGGAGGCTTTGACTGCACGATGACGAGAGCTTGTTTTAAGCCCTCAAACAGGAAGGGAGCAGCACCTGAAGATCAATAAAATTTGATAATCGTATGGAAGAGTGCTATGATTTTTCAAGAAAGCTTTTCAAACACGCCTCGCCAACTATTTGCTCATTTTTCTCGACTGGCCTAGCCAACCTGGAGAAAACAGATCACCGCTTTTTTCTCATGGATCTAGCGAAAAGTCCATTTCAGATAGTTGTAAAGTGGCGTTCACGAAAAAATGCGTTGCAATTAGCAGCAGAGAATTCTTGGCAGGAAGTCAGGAATGTCGAAGATATTTTCTCTTTGACGTAGAAAGCTTATAGAACTCTTGAAGCCCTATACATAATATATTTAACTATAGAGTGAGATAACTTTATTAAGATAAAATGAAAGACTTTGAGAACGGGATAAGATGATTTCATATTTCATAATTTGCACTTTTTTAATAATTGGGTTTGTTTGCTATATATGATAACAGGCTTCGTCCATCGTTATCAATTTTTGACAAACTTGGTGAATATATGAAAATTTGTCTTGTTTATTATTTGGCAATATTTATAGCAGGAATTTCACTCAAATCTTGCAACACTCAGTAAGCTTATGTCTTGCTGTAACCAGCTAGAGGAATTTATTGAGGTCTTCTGTTTGGCAAGAAATCGAAACCATTCTTTTAGAATTCATAATTACAATTCCTGGTTTGGTTTACAGATTTATTTTTTTACTTGTCTTGGAATCATGATGAAATAATATATCTTGTTAAAATCAAATCTTGCAATTGTGAATCTTATTAAAAAGCGAAAATGGGCGTCACCCAATTTTGGAAAAAGTCAAGGGCGTTGCCAGAAAAATATGGGACCACGCCCATATTGGAACCCACTCAAATTCTTGTCTAGATCCGCCACTGCTTGGGGCACCAATGAACATCGATCTGCTCCTGAATGCAATGTCTTTGTCGGCTAGCACTAATGGCCTGCTTAAAGAATAAACTTCTACAAGGGAAAGACTTCAATGTCTGCCATGCAGTAGGCTTCTCTCGACCAGCAAACGATTCAACTGCATCAAAAACGGATGGTGCATACCGAAATATGGAATACAGTGTCTCGCAATGCCTGAAAGAATATTTTGGATCGGTATCCCCTTTAATTTTTTTCCAGTAGCCATAACTCTACCCAAAACTTTTCGATATTCAAGCATGTAAATTTAGCAATTACAATAATAACAAAATCTACCAAAAATTTGCTTGTATCTACCTTCTCGTGATTGCAAAGATTCGTCTCATCCTAAACTGAGTGGCCTTTTTGTAAATGTTTGGTCCAACTAAGTACTGAAGACTATCTTTCCCAGCACAAAATCATTTGTGATCAAAGCTAATTTAATCGGGGTGTTTATCGTGCTTTCAAATAAGTATTTATACAAAATTAATAGCATTTAGTTGGCTTTTAGCGACATTCCAGAGAAGAACTCTTTAGAGATCTGGGAACTATTACACATTCTAAAAACAGCATTTGGGTAGCATTTTGAAGATGGATATCAATTAAATCCTTTACGTGTGTGAATTCAAATCATTCTAAATTTCTTGTTTGTTATTATTAGTATTCTTGCCAACTTTCATGTTACTGATTTCATTTTCAACAAAGTTATAGAGGCAATCAATTCAAGGGTCTGGGAACAATTAAGCATTCTAAAAATAGCATTTGGGGGCATTTTGAAGATGCGTGACGATTCAAATCCTTTTAGTGTGCTTTAATTAGTATCTAAATCAAGTTGCTTGCTATTAATTTCATCCTTAGTGGAGTTGTAGAGATAAGCGTGTTTGAGATTTGGGAACGAGTACATGGTCTAAAAATAGCATTTGGGGGCATTTTGATGGTGGGTGTGAATCTAAATCACATTGCCTTGTTATGATTTGTATTCATACAAATTTTCATGTCATTGATTTCATTTTCAACAAAGTTAAAGAGATAATAATTTCAAAATCTGGGAACAATGAATCATTCTAAAAATAGCTCTCAACGGCATTTCTCAGACTGGGTCCCGATCCCATCTTTTTGTAAAACCACTTGAATGCGGGTTTTACCAACGTGAGTTCATTGTAGGCAGAAATGCTCAAAAATACGGCAACAGCGGATAAAATCAAAATTCTTCTTTTTACGGCAATGATACGACTAACGGCTAACAACAAGTTCGACAAATAACGACACGGCTTCAACAGGCACGACAAAACTAGCGATAGAGCTTTTAGCAGTACGACAAAAGTCTCGACAAGACTAAACCTATCTTATGAAACAACCCTTTATGTACCCTTAGCAGAACCTTGAAGTAATAATTACGTAATGCATAAAAACATATTTACAGACGCTGATGCAGTCACAGCACAATGATGCAATTGTCACGTGATATTGTCCGTAGGGGAACTCTGAGTCGTAACATTTTTCAGCAAGTCTAATTGTATGTTTGTACAAATTTTCATGCTTTCGTCGCGATTTGCGCAATCATTCTGCTTATCTACTACACTAGTAGATGCTGAAGCGTTTGTAGCTTCGTGTTTGACAGGCTACCCCAGACAACATTCCCATATCGGAGGTGACTTTCAACCAGCGCATGATAAACCTCACATAGTTTAGATTTTGAAAGATTGTGCTTCAGTTTTTTCAATGCAGACAAACCACTTGCTACTTTTCCTTTCGAAGATTTAAAAAGTGTTCCTTCCAGTTGAGATTTTTGTTCACAGCAAAAATACTTAGAGATTTAGTTTTTTCACTCGTTTATTCCTGTGCCATTAAAGGTAATGTGTCCAGCTATAGCAAGCGACTCTGCAGGGGTTTTTAGAAACATGTGATTTTTCATGTCATCGCCCCAGTCATTACGGTCGTTCTGTTTATTTATCCTGCTGCGAGGTCAGCTTTTCATGTGAGCAGTTTTGCATCGCAAGAATTCTAACCAATCGCGTCCATATAAAAGGACTGCGTATACCCAATTTGTCAAGCCACCTATCAAAACAACGGTTTGCGATTGGTTAGAATTCTTGCGATGCAAAACTGCTCACATGAAAAGCTGCCCTAGCAGCAGGATAAATAAACAGAACGACCGTAATGACTGGGGCGATGACATGAAAAATCACATGTTTCTAAAAACCCCTGCAGAGTCGCTTGCTTTAGCTAGACACATTACCTTTAAAGCCGAATCTCCACTGACGCTTGTTTTGTAGCGTTCGCTGAAGCGCTCGTACAAAATTCTACTCATTTCAATCTCCATTGATTTCGATCAAATTTTTGCGCGCGCGAGAATCTTAGGGCAACAAAGTTGTTTCCGGCCGTCATTAACCAGTTTTGTTTATGAGAAAAAAGAAATTCAGTTATATTAACATAAAAAGCACATAAAGATTGGGGACGCAAATTACATGAAGACAGAAATCAGAAAGGTGAATACCAATAAAATCGGCATTTGAAAAATCATGTTTGCTTGTGGAAAAGAATTATTCCCTAATCTACCCAGTAAAGTACGTAATTAACTGCAAGTCAGTTTCACTGCTACTAAGTTTCGGTTGCTGTGAGGATGTCATCTTGCAAAGGCCTATTGTGAAAATCACGCAGTTCCTTTGTCCTATGTTTACCTCGAATAATTTCGCTTGACGAAAAGTAGAAACTAGTTCAACTATTCGTCAAGCGAATTTTTCGATGTGCGAACGCTTTTCTCTCGAGATTTTTCTTTCTGCGCATGTGTCGTCGCGAATTTTTCAGACAAATGCTGCAAAAAAGCGTCAGTGGAGATTGGACTTAACAGTGCCAGACGAAAATATTAAGCATGTTACAAAGCCACCTTTAATTTTTATACCACCAAAATTGTTTGAAATGATATTTCATACTTGATGGGACTTAGCCTTGGCCTTAACACGACACCACTCTGCTGACATGAATAACGACCACCAACAATAAGCAACTTGCGCTTGACATCATGGCATACGTGGCTGAAGTATTTTATAAGACACTCTTTTTTTTAAGAACCAGTAATTTAAGTTCAGGCTGACTGTTCTTGATTTTTTCGAAAATCTGTGGCTGGATTGTTCTTAATTTGTTCTTAAATTAAGCAGTGCTATTGCTAGCTTTTTCTAGCCTGCGTCACAGACCATCACCACCAAGGAGGAGAGTGGTGATGATGGTGACGCAGGCTAGCTTCTTCGCTCTAAGGATGTGTTCAGGCCTCATTTGCCAACAAAGTGAGTGAGACAGCCTTAATTTGCTGACAAATTTGAATATTCACAGAAAATGCACCCACGCATAGCTAAAAATCCTCGATTTTGAGAAAAAACGTTGTTCAAAATCGCATTTTGCAGAAACTCAGCCTCAGCTTGTTCTTTTGACCAGTTTTGAGGCTCGTGTTCTTATAAAATTGTTCTTATAAAAAAAGAGTGTAACACAAAAAAACTTATTTTAGTTCTGACCCAGCTACTAGAGATTCCCTTCTTTAATTGCTCAAGTGCACTTACAAAACAGTAGAAATATTTTTGTTGATCCTTTTTTGTGAAATAGTTCTTAATTTCACATTTCATGAAATTTCGCGAAACGATACATAACAAGCCGTGTTTTGCAATTTTGTTTAGAAATTAACAATTCTTGTTATTTTTTATTCATCAACCAAACAAATAGATTTTGTGTAATCGGTCATATCGTTTCAGTGATGTTTTTTAGGGGGCCCAGTTTTTAAAACATTAGGAACAAAGGGAATCATTCATTGGAGACAGGATTTTTGCAACTTTTGGGGGAGGGGAGATTACTCGAGCCCTTCGCCTTGTTCATGGATCTGCGAGTTATTCGATACTAACATGTTCTTCTTGATTTGTTGATATGAGGGACACATTAGGAGAAAAATCACCCCAAAATCAACAATAAACTGTTGATTTAACTTTAAAAAACACAGTGTTACTCAGATCTTGGGGTCTTTGCATGTCTGCCAGATTCAATGTGACATTTGGAACATTGTGCTCATTGAGACAAAGTTTAGCGAAATTGACGAGAAATCGAAAAGAGTGTAGAGGCTGTAGTCAGGCTAGGAGTAATCTGACAGAAAATCAAAATATGTTTCGTAATCAAGCTGTTCAACTGGTTGCGGTTGCGGTTGTGGTAACGGTGGTCGAGCTCTTAGCTACGTCAATCTCGTTTTCGCTTTTGTTTGTTGTCATTAGCAACAGTTGGTGTAAACTTTTATCGTGAGCAGGTAAACTTAGCAGAAAAGGAAATATACTTTGCTTTACTTTGCTACGAACCGCACTTGTTTGACGAACGGACATATTTGTTTGAAATGTCAACAAACTTCAGCGCAAATCAGGTGAGTGGATTAAACTTGCGGGCTGTCTTCCTTTGGAAAAGTTAATCTATCTAGAACTTTATTTGGTACCGTCTACACTTAGGCCAATGTGATTGTTTATATGCCCCCAACAGCATTAGTTTCCGTGCGATTCTGCTTATAGTGCTGCAAAATCAAATATGTTCCGTTGCTGTTATTCGAATACCATCGTGGGTAAATTTTCACTAACAACCCTAATACTATGTACGGCGTATTCCCACATTCTGAGGTGGTACATTCTCAATGATATGTTGAGAATCTCTTTTGGAAATTTAATCCTATTTCCTTAAAGTATGCAATTGTTGTTTCATGCTCCAAGAAGCTTGTATTTTATATTTATCATGCAAACACCATTAAGTTCTTCGTGAAAATAATTATAACAGCATTTATATATTGTTTTTTCTTTCCCAGTATGAAAAATCATTTGCTGCCCAGAGGCTCCAAAACTGGCAAATACCAAAAAAGTTCAAGGAGGTAGCTGTCACATGTTTTCATTGTTTCCCTGCTTTTCGCGATGCTAGATCTTGTTCTGATTTCATATCATCTTTGAAATCAATCTAAGTTTTTAAGGCTGTCATCTTAGTAGTTAACTCTGATTTTTGCACTAGAAATGGGAGGTCAGTCGAAAGTTCTGTCCAATCAGCATAACTTGAAAACATTATTGTGATAAATTGATCAAGTTATGCTTTCATTATCAATCCATATCATGGCATCAAATTATGCTTTCATTTTTTTTAAACCTCGGAATCAACATTTTTCAAAACTTCAAACTTATTATAAGGAATGGCTTTAACATAATAGCATGGACAGAATCCTAAAGCCATTGTAAATAAAAAGTAAGCATGTTAAGCCACAATTTCATAACCAAGTTAAATAGTTTCTAAAAAGACAACATGGAATTTATACACAATGTTTCCTAAATATCCTAGATCCTTCTGCTTCTATGTAAAGTCTATCTGAAAGAAGCATTAGATATTTGTAATTATGGAGGGTTCGAAAAATATCAGTGATTGCAACTTTCCCTGAAAAACGTGAGATATATTTTTTTCTTCATAGCACCCTTCATCAAAGAAAGGTGGTACTGTTCCAATAAGCAATGACAGGGGACACCTGCTAGATGGTGTGCCAAGAGCAAATACTTCAGCATGGGGTAATTTTAAAGGAACATGGGACTTTGAGATGGACTGTCGAAAAACAGTCCACTGCCAGACTCTAGCAACACTTAAGTCAGAAGGGACCAGCTGCTTGAATAATCAAGTAAAAAAGACACAACATTTGAAACAGAATGAATTAACATTGACCAATAAACAACAAGACAAGGTCTTTCAGGATTTTTCAAAGATGAGACCTGACCGAAATGGAAGTCCTATAGGAAATCCAATAGGTGAGGATAAAACTAAGCTTATTGAAGTGCAGCGAGAGATACAAGTTGCTTCTCCAGTCCAGTCGGTGAAGACAACTTCACCAGATCAAAGAAAAACTCCAACTGGCTTTCAAAACAGTCCACGGGCATCACCGGTTGCTGGAACTCCAAAGCCACACACTCCAACAACACCAATTCTTGAAGACAAACCAGTAACTCCAGTAAAACCAAGCACACCATTGCAAGATTTTATGTAATTTACTGGTATTCAAAACCAGAATGTGATTTTTGTTTAGTATTTGCTTATAATTCTTAACTTCATAAAATCTATATATGCATTGAAACTGATGGGCAAGAAGAAGAATTTTTTTATTTTTTTCAAATATTTTGATTGTTTGTGAATTAACCAAGTAATGGCACCGAGAAAATACTTATTGCAAAAATAAAACGAATCAATCCAGTTTCTCTATTTATTTGCATTATTCTTTTCCTAAGCACAGTCAACAAAATAGTTTTTCTAGTTATTCTTGAATCATGGATAGTTCTGTATAGCTCTTAACTTTTGATTAACATCTGGTATTCAAAGTTTCTGACACTGACATTATTAGTGCATTCAGTTCACTTAAATGTAATTTTCTGTATTGTTTAGTTTCCAAGCTGCATTAACTGAGAATTCTTAGAGCTCTCTCTTGTATCTTATTTAGTATCCAATCCAGTATTTTATTCTCAAAAATCCAGACTAGTAGGCAGTAGCTTAAAAAGGGCATTGGGAATGTTCTCATCTTTAGTTTCAATTTCTCTTTGTTCATAAATATTGGTATACGGGACAAAGTGCCTAGTTTTTATTTTACTTTTGGCAAAAAGATTCAATGTGAGATTCTTTTTGCTCATTTCCTTGGATAAGATCATTTCCAACAGACAACTCGCATTTGTCTTTTTGACACCAAAAGTTAAAAGAAGTAATTTGGTTTCAGTTACTTTTGGTCGCAATTTGTTCTAGTTTGTGGATAATATTTTAAAACTTTTGAGTCAGAATAGTTTATTTTCGAACTATCCATATAGCTGCAAATATCAACTCCATTCACCAATAGAAAAAATCATTAATGTAAATATTAAATAAAATGGGCGCTAAGACTGAGCCTTGAGGTACACCAACATATCTTTTTTTCATGTATCAAAGGTCCAGATCTTAGCTCTTTGTTTCCTTCTTGAAAAATAGTTGAAAATGAGTTTAAGGGCCCTCCGTAGCAATGAAGAATTGATAAAGATAGATGCATCCTTATTTTGCTTTCTGCATTTAGTATTAGTAAAATCTTTCTAAAATACAAAGCAACACGATTTTCTTTATGTTTTATTCTTAAAAGCCCCTGTGGTCAAATCAATTGGGTGATATACAAAAATGAAAAATTCCTTGGTAAGTTATGATTAATTATCTTGGTGCAGTATGTTCCCATGTACCAGAAATGTGTGATTGATACAGACTCAGTTAGCTACATAAACAAAATCAAAGAAATATTTTCTTCTAACAACAGGGAATGCTAATTATACATTAAAATGGGAGTATGAGTTGATTAAATTTTAAGAAGACAGTTGTGTATAGGAAAAGACTGAACATTCAGAAATTGATCTTTTTAAAATGAGTGCATATATTTTTAGATATCTACATAGAAAGCTTCGAAGTTACCCTTATCTATAAAACAATTTATGATATTTTTCTTGAAACTTGAGATAGTAAGGAATTGCTTTATCAAAGCAAGCAGGCAAGACATTGTTAAGAAAGAAAGGCAAAACATGGAAATGCTGAGAAGTCTTGCGCAGAGAAAAGTTTGAAGGGAAGTATATCAATGAAGCTTTCTAAGCATGCGCAGTTTAATTTCTGATTCGCAGAGCATTCGCAAAAAGACTCGCACTTTTTCGTGAAAGAGTCGTACTTTTTTGGAAAAAATTTCCCAACAACTGATAAAAAATCACAGCACGGTAAATCTGCTTGATCTCTGAGAAGATAATCTAACTATCTAGCATCGGCTTACTAAAGTCAACGTGAGGGGGTTTGAAATCTACTTCCTTCATTTGTGAATTCCCATGCGACTTATGTTCGCCTTATTTCTGGTCAGTGTTGAGCAACGTTATATATGTCCGGAAGGGCCGTCAGTTCTCTGCATCTTATGCAAGGGGCAATTTCCGATATTGTACACAATACCCCATATTGATCAATTTGGAAAGAGTCAGTAGGGTTTTGGGTAATTTGCTCCCAAACTCGATTTCTTAATGTGATGCATAATAATACCACATTTTCACAAGACATACGCCTATAAAACAATATCTAATTACAGTAAGAGCTACAAATAGTCGAAAATGGATTACCAGTTGTGCTTTAAAAAATTGTAAATATCATACTATGAATAAACATATAATCAGTTTTCTCGATTTTGAAAATTTTGTGATATAAGCTAGGCCTAATTGCTATAACGAATGGAATTTTAAAATCGAAACTATAGATTTAATTATTATTTCTACTAAAATTAAAAAATTTATATTGCAGATATTTTTTCAGCTAATGATCCCCTATTATTAGTGTTTTCGTCTTCTTGACAATATTTTCCCTCCTCAATACCCGACCGGCTTCTGGATGGTAGGCACGGAAATATGCAAAACCGGGAATTTCTCGACAACAGGTCGGGTTCAGTCCGGTCTTTTCTTGAGAAAAAAGACCGGCTTTTATTTTTAACGACCGGTTCAATGTCCTCCTGTACTTTTTCGTCAATGCTATCACTGGCCTCTTTATCCATGGGCTTCGTAAGAATTCTCATCGCCTCTTCATCGCCACCCGAAGGCTCAGCACAAAACGGTATCAGGAAGATGAGACAAACTCCAGCCGCCATGAACCCACCGGCGACGTAAAATGCCACAGAGTAACTGCCCGCAAAGTCGTACAGCCATCCTGAAAAAAAGTCAAAATTTCACTATTTGGAATTTTTACTCAAAGATCAGAGAGAATCGTTATGGGATATTCAGTCATCCTACACTCTGATTTTAGTTACATGCCTCTGATAGCTATCGTCTTTGGAGCCAAATGACTTTGTTGCTGTTGTAGCAATGCTTCTTTAATCTTGAACAACTCTATCAATGGCGGTCTAATTTCATAAGCATTTTTCTATTTCTTCTGCAATTTTTAGTTCTCTTAAGAGAAAGAAATAGGCGCTATCGTGCTGAAAATTTTTTTCAATATACGCGAGTTTTTCTGGGCATCAGAACACCATAAAGTTTAAGCCAGACACACCAACCAGGGAATAAATCTAAAAGATGACATTATTATGTGGCTTGGTTGTTATTAGTAGGTCACCTTTTAATTATGCCAACTTCTAACAAGCCCTTTGATATACTTCTTTACTTATCAGATTTTCTTGAATAAAAGCTGCAAAATATTCTGTAAAAAGGGAAATAGTTTTAATTGAAATCGTGGATCAATCTCATTAGTACCACAAATGTAAAAAGAACCAATGGTATATTGCACATGGGTGTCTCTTAGCCTAAAAAGCCCATCAAGTTCCAGGTGCCATACTAAAGAACAAACGACGGTTATTAACTGAAAGCTCATTCTTTGGATATAGATTCCAAAGTTTACTCATTAAATTTTTATTTGTGATGCCCCCCGTCACGCGAGTGCCTAACTGGTAAAGTCAATGAATGAAATTTGATTGTATTCTCACCAGCCACAGGAGGCCCAAGCATGGTTGGGATGGACATGATCATGAAGAGACTGCCCAATGCAGGTGAAAGTCTACGAATACCAACGATCTCTTTTGTAACCAACGGAATAAGCACAACAAAACATGCTTCACCAAGACCAAACACTAAGGCGTACAACACAAGCTCTGGGTAGCCTCGCCCAACTGGCAGTAAGGTTGTAGATAAGCTCATCGTTAGAAGTCCAGCTTGGTACATGTAGAATATGTTTACTTGTCTCATGTCCGCGATTTTCCCTGCAAAGACTTTGCCAATGGTCGAAGTGATAGAGAGGATACCGATCAAGAAAGAGGCTTTTTCGTCTGGAACCCCAATCAACACAGCATGTCGTTTCTGCAATGAAAAATCACAAAAATTGTGTTTCAGATCAACAACTTAATACAGGGTGTGCCTTTTGCATTATTCTAGTGGAAAAGTTTGGAAATCATGATGTTTGCTTTCAGGCCAAGACAACAGACATGGTTACTCTTTAAAAAAAAGCTGTACAAGAAAAGCTGTACAGTGAAAATTCTTCTAAGGTATTTAAATTCCTTGAGATAGTAAATTCCGGCTGGATACACATTGATGCTAGGAGGGCGCTAATGGAAAAAGCTAGAATAGCATTTTGATATTCTTTATATTAGGTTGATGTTCTTTACATTTACATTAGAGTCTTTACACTTGCTCGGTAAATGTCCTTGTGACCGAGTCAAAAGATATTTTCAAATGTGCCTCCTTTCAATTAGACAATTCTTAAAACGGTTTCATTGAGAAATCAATCTTCCTTCTCACAAAAGAGAGAGTGTTCGTTGGGCTAAAAATCAATATCCCATTGGCTTGGCAAACACCCTCACCCCCAACGGAATGAACAGAACCACAGACCATTAACTTTACAGCACAACTAATCACCTATCATGCCATCCCTTACAACCCACACCTTATTTTCCCTAACATTGTAATCATTATCACCACCATTACTATTAATCAACATTACCATTATTTTCATTTCGACCACCTTTATTATTACTGCTTTTTACATTGATATTCACAGTCATCATTATCATCCCATTACATCTATTTCTACAGCAACATCCACATTCCCTCACATCACCCACCACCCCTCCCTCCCTCACTACCATCATCCCATTTTTTCTCCACTGCCCTGCATTCACACCATTCAACATTAACCAATCTGGCATCACCATCTCACATTTCAAATCCATTTACTCGTTCGTTTCATTTACTCTGATGAAGCCCTGTATTCCGAGGTGAAACGTTAGCATTCGTTTCATTTAATTTATTTTGAAAATTGATATCATTACATTGGATTTTCGTCGTCGTATTGCTTTGTTCCTGAATTTCTTTCGGATTAATCTTCCTTCTGCAACTATCTCCTTTTTTTCTCTTGTCTATAAACCTTCTATCTTGTCATAACAGGCTGAATAAGGAGCACTTAAAAGAGGGTATCAAACAATCCATACTCACCAAATGAACAAAGGGAACAAAATATCCAAGCATGAATGTCGATAATGCAACGATCCATGCAATATACGACTTTTCCTTCCAAATTGATTTTGGACCTTTCTTTTTGCCAGAACTATTTATGGGAGAATCACGATATTTCTTTTGTAAACTAGCGTACTTTTCAGCCACTGGTCTAAAAGTCAGCGCACACAATAAATTCAAGGCATTTATAAGCGCCAATATTCGTAAACTGTTAAACAAGCCAAGCTCGAGCAGAATGTATTGCACAAGAGGGCTGATCGCTAGAGTCCCCATACCACTGCCCGCTGACACGAATCCATTGACCAGTGCCAGCCTCTTATCGAAGTACTGCACCAGAATTATAAGTGTTGGAAAGTAACAGAAAGAGGCTCCAAGTCCCCACGTGACTCCATATGTGATATACATTACTTCAAGTGACCGTGCGAAAGATGACATCACAAGTCCAAAGACGCACAAAAATGCTCCAATGCAGCCAACAATACGACAGCCGTATTTCTCGCATAATGTTGTTGTCAATGGCCCACAGAAGAACATGACGCCAATACCGAGGGATCCAACCCATGCTGAAAGAGGTAAAAACGATGAATGACAAACTTACATTGAGAAATGTATTGCGAATAATTTATCGTAATTTCAATATAAAATATCCTTGGAGAAACAGGCATAGGCCACCCCTTCAGTCTAGGCCATCACATTCGAGGAGCACCAGCCAGTTCATGTCCTTTGCTCTTTCGGAAAAACAAATCCTTAAATGTATTTGCAAAGATGAGCATTATTCAATTAGAAACTTTTTATAATTATTATAATTATTTTCAACTATAGCCTTATTTTTAGCCACGTCTGAAAGCTCTGGTCCTACTGGGAAGACTGATACAACTTTCCTGCCAGAGCCTATCGAAAATTTTGGGCCCCTGAAAAACGCAATATGTTCTTTGACACACAGAAAGTGATGGGTAGGCCACAATGGAGAAGCATGTTTTCTACTGAGGTGGACAGCGGAAAGATGTCAAAACAAAAAGTTGGTACTGCCCAGTGACTTGACCAGTTTTTAACTTGAGGGAGTAGAGACAATTCATTCCGGTTTGACTCGCGCGTAAAAACAATTTTCGCATTTGCAGCAATAATCTCATTCTCATCTTAATTAGAATACTAAGTGTCAAATTTATGGAAGCATGTTCCACTGAAATTCTGTAGCCTTTTTCTGTGTCCATAAAAACTTCAAACCTTCTTAATATATTGACTCTTTATATTATAGACAATAAGTCGCAACCTTAGACGAAAGGGTACATGAAATATTTAAGGTCCCATTTGTTTCCTGATATTTTTTCAAAAGTAAAATATGCAGCATTTTATTAACATTTAATGAATGCTCTTAGCAAAGCAAGTAAACAGGCTGTTATTTCTTCCTCATTACTCGAAAGACACGTGTACTTATCTGTCGGTGTTTCAAAAATGAATATATACCTGCCTTGCCAGGAGAAACCACAAATCATACTCAAGAGCGCCGCTTTAATAACTCCTTCGCATTGTCGCAAAGTGGAATAGTGGATCCGCTGGTGCCGATGCATCACGAACTAACCACATTAACACAGCACAAAATGAGAATGAAATCAATTTTGTGCTAAATCCAAGGGTGTAGCCTTTTTAGAGTAGTCAATTATCAACTTTTGCTATTGTTTTTCACAGTGTTTTGCGCAAGAGCTCTGCCTTGTTATTTTGATAGCACTACCCCCCTGGTCTATGAATAAATCTAAGAATAGGCTCATTGGACATATGTAATTTTTAACAAAACGTTCTTTCCATGCAAAACATTTTCTTGGAACAAACTAACATCGCCAATCAACAAAGCCCCTGCACAATGTCGCGTCTTGAAAAAATCACGCCCCCAAAGAATTTATGTAGCCACGCCATGCCCTGTACTTCTGGGGAAAAGAGCGAGGCCTTTCATTATCTTAGAATCAAACACTCTTTTTAATTTAAATTGCAACCAAGCATCTTTCAGTGCCAAAAAAGGTTTAATGAATTGTGCATTCTTTGCGTTTTTGGAAAAAAATTATTTTTTATGCAACATGTTTTTTAAAAGTGGGGTTTGAATACGCCACTGTTGAAGCAAGTCGCACTTCAATATAAACAGCGCAAAATAGTTTCCTTTTTGAGGCACTATTACACTTTCAAATAATGCCAAATAAACATATGCCAATGAAGATAAATCACATGTTTTCAAGGACTGACGGCCCGCTGGAGGACTTAAACAGCTATTTTTGAGAACTCAAACATTGGTATAGTAATAGATGGCTTGGGTGTAGGCTCCACTGTAAACTGTTCATAAGAGGGTGCGAACAGATACAAGAAACCTTATAGTGGGGCCTCCGAGAAAGGGGGCGGGGGGCCATGGCCCTCCCACTTTTTTGCACAATAATAGCGTTTTTGCCAAATCTTTTGTTATTGGTGTTAAATTTTTCTTTGCCCTCTAACTACTTTAAAATCTGTGTCTGAGCCCATGTATATAAAAAAATACAACGATATTGTAACATCCGGCTTGTTTCACTTTGCCCACCCTTGGTCACAGAAAGAACTATCACCGCATGCAGTAATTACAATCCCGGACAAAAAAGTTGAGACAAAATGCAATTTTTATAATTTTCTACTTTACCTTGCCCCTGTAAATTCGAATCCCGCTTTCCCACGAAACAATATTAGATTTGTAGTTCTATCATTTTGCTTCAAAATCATGCACTCAATATTGAATGGGAGAAGGGGGGAGCTATTTCTCAAAGGAAAGAGAAAACATAAAATTTTCTTGAAATGTCTCAACTATTTTTGTCCGGGATTTTAGACTGCAAACAGCCTTGAGAAGTAAGCGCCGCAGGGCCATATAAAAAAATGGGCAATCTGTTCTTATTGACAATAGAATCTCATTCCTTGCTAGAAGAATGAGTGATGAAATATGATCAATTTGTCTCTAGTTTTCATTCATTTGTTTCAGCGCGGGGATGTCCAATACAAAGCAAATTCTAGTGCGTCTGAGGCGCGGGTCCAGAGAAAAATCTGACTGGAGCAGGAGGGAGGGGCTAGGGGCTACAACCCTAGGGAAATTCGAAATACTACCTCATTTTCAGGTGAAAGTCTTCTTGGGTTATTTTCCCACATATTCAAATAAAACTCTCTCAAAATTTATTAATACTCTTTGAATTGATTTATAAATGTTGGTCGATAAGGCATCATCACACTGATTGAAACGCCATCTAACATTCTTTTAGAGAAATGTTCCAATAAATTAGGTGCATTGCTTTAATCGTTCATTAAAGATCTGCGACGCTGTCTTTAAAAAAACCTTAGATGCAGTTCCTTATGAAGTAGGGGCTTTTTATGATTACATATACTCATCAATGTAGACTTATTCGCATTTTCTCTTCCTCTTGCCACTTCCCCTCTGACCATCGGATCTTATCTGGTTTTCGCTCTTGGCAAGAAGCCATTTACCTTGACAATTCTTAGCACAGCGATGACAAATGTCTATTACAAACAGAGTGATGACAACCAGGGGCGGATCGAGACATTCTCAACATTCTCAATTGAGAATGTCAGATTTTCCCAGTTTGATTATTCTAAATAAAATGCTAGAAGTAATGAATGAGCTCAGATTTAAGATTCAAGATAAGCATACATCTTTTTATTATGTATTTTAGGTATTTATTTCTACACAATCGCCGTATTTGCTATATTTTACTCCGTTTTGCCTTTGCGAAACATTTTTAGATCTTCTCCGATGAAAAACCAATTTCTCCTTCATTGAACCTAGTACCCAGGAGAGTAATAAGAGGCTGCGCCGCGTCCTGTATCTAGGCATGATTTTTAGAAAGTTTATCGACTGTTGCCATGCATTTTGAGAAGTTCCTTCGCATTTTTAGAAAGTTGCACGCAGTTTCTGCATGCGCACGCAGAGAATTTCAATTCATTTTTGTCCCTTAGAAGAGGTCGACCTGAAAGATTTTAACGAGAGGAAAATTCGCCAGAATGACGTATTAAACCCATTCACTTTTAATAGGGTATATCTGGCATATGTTTAACATATATTTTATGAGGTCTTGCCTACGTCGCAGTTTGAGAATCTTGAGAAGTTAGTGGGCTGGTCCACAAAGTAGCTAAATTTGACAGGGAACACCAACTTCACGTGATCAAGAATCCACACTCCACTCCAGACTACAGTGGCTGTGGCAGTGGCAGTGCCTGGTAATGATTTGTGTTTGTGCTTGATTAGAGAATAATTTCACAAGAACCCATTGCAAGTATGGATGTATTGGAAGAATTGAAACAGTTATTGACCGATTGTGCTTTGGATACCATCGAGGAGTATTTTTTTTCGCTGACTAGGGAATGGTTACTTACAAGTCTGCCGGGAGGGCCTAGGCGCCAGAACCAGATCGTAACACACAACCTTCGACATTTATTGTGGCAAAAGAATTCTTTCATTTTGATGGCTGAACCTTGTTGAACGAGAAAGGGTCAGACTTTGAGGTACTGCTGAAAAATTTTATATAGGGGTTCATTTTGTGCTGCTGCTACTGGGCCTAGAGGCTCAGGTGGTAAATTCTGCAAAAAGTTTGTTTTGTTTGCAGACTGGCCCCTCTGGATGCTGGTAAAATACTTAATTTAACACCGATACCTTACCATTGTCTTTCTGTTTTTGTGTAATGTGATTTAAATGTAGAATTCACAAAAATTACACTGTTCTGAATTTAACTAGAACTAGAATATTCATTCAATGATTAAATGGTTGCCTATCTTTGTAATATAATGTTTATGGATACATTTTAGTTTGTTTTAATATTTATTTAATTTGTTTTAGATAACATGTTATTTATTTGCAAGTTGAGTTTCACTTTTGCTGAATTTAATTTAAAGAACTAGCTGTAAAAAAGTAAAGAGAGATTTTAACAGTTAGAGAAGTCATTACTTTCTTACAGTCTTGTTACTGATATCGTTACCAAGCAGAATAGGATTTGTTGTCACAGCCTTTGGTGACAAGTTTTATGCTATGGTGGGCTGTTGTGTTCTATTTTGAAACCATTTGACATGTTGCATCTTTGGAAATTTTATGTGGTTAATCATATGAGCTACATGGGCCTATTGTCATACACTGCACTCTTGTTTTGGAGATGCATCTCCTTTTTTGTTTTATTGATACTAAGCCAATAATGAACAAGGTTTATTGAGAATGCAACACAGAAGTCAAAATCTTGAGATATATTTATTTGAGCAAGGTAGTACTAGGAACTGGAAATGCTGTCCATTAAAGTATGTTTTACATTAAGTTAGTACACACAGTAAAGGCAGATATAATCTGTTTTTAATGCATGTTAAAATGCAGTATTTGGTATGATGTAATCTAGTATGACAGGAGTTGGAGTAATGGAGTAGTCTTTCAACAAGAAAAAAGATAAGAAATGCATTTGTTTGCTTATTTTAGCGAGCCTATTACCAGACTAAGTTTCGATGGAATTATGGTTTGGATAAAAAGCTAATTTTGGTTAACATTCCTGTGGAAGGAAATATTATGAAGGCAAAAAATTATATTCATTTTCTTTGGCAAAAGAAAGTGCCTCTGAAAGCTAAGCAAAGGGAAGTTTAGTATAAAGTGTCAGGTCTCAGATGATTCAAATTTAAATTTGATGGATCTACTAAATAGACAGTCATCCCAAATTAATTCTTCTTCCATGTATTTCCAAACGATGAACAACAAATCTGAAACAGATATACAGACTTTGACTTTGATGCAGAAATATTTTACTCTAAAGCAGTGCAATTATCAGATGCCAAAAGATATGATGCATTTAAGAGAGTTAGCATCCAGAAAGAAGTTGACTAGCCTTAGCAGTCTACTTTTGTTACTAGAAAAGGTTTTTGCGCATTTCTTTGTCCAAGTTTCTATGGCTTGTATACTCTGAAAGTGCCTGCATTTTTAGTAATTTCATTGGTCAACTTTCGTTAATAATTCTCTTCTATGAGGAGTCTTGTGCCCTTAAATTTTTATCAATAATTTGGATGTCCACAAAACTACACTTCTTTCTATAAAATTCCACATGTTAAACTATTAGAAAACCAAGCACAATTTGCCACACACATTTTGTCGTGATCTTTGTGTTATTTTTCCCTGCATTACCCAATTTTCAATTACTAGTGTTGCTATGCTTATTAAGTAATTCTTTAATGTTGCATCATTGTTGTTTTTTGGGCAATAATATGAGGGGGCAAGCCTATTTTTTTGATAAGATGACATCACATTTGTCCATTCTTTTAGAATAAAAGACCTCTGTCTTCCCAAAATGTTGGGGGACAACTACCTCCCTTCATCCCCCTGGGTGTCTGTCACTTCTTATTGTTTGCTTCTATTTCTCCTCTTAAAATTTCAATAATTTTAATCATTGCATCCATAAAAGACAGAAAACAATTTCTTGTGCGTTTCCGGGAAATGGGCGTGGTCGGTCGGTCATAATGGGTTTTGAGAATGTCAAATTTTTGTCTGGATCCGCCCCTGATGACAACTTAATCCGACGGCTAGCAATAATTTCGCAATATACAGTAGGTGTCCCGCAAATGCTCAGATAACACCAAAAAGAATGAAAAGGTCGACCCGTGACTGTCGAATTTCCTTTCCATTGCTCACTGCTACAACTTTTCTTTTCTGTTGTTATAACCTTTCAGTGCGAAAACATTTTGATATTTGCTGCCTATATTTTCGCCTTCCAGTCTTTTGAAAATTGAAACAAGTAGGAACTGCTCTCTATTTACAGGTCTTGCCAAGGTCAACTGGGCTTGTTCTGAAGCGGAGAGTAACACCTATCTTTCTGGACTGGTTATCACCTGCTAGGGGTCTGAAAAACCATTGTAAAGCTGTTTGAATTGACTAAGTTGTATGGCCTCCAATGAAAAGAAACAAGCATTTGAGCGTGATTTCAGTATAGGAAGTGCGGTATCCTGCTGTTTCCAGTAATTTTACTTAAGTACAAAGGTTAAAACCATGTATTTCTCTCGGATCCAGCATACGTCATTGCTCAAAATGAAATATATAGGCGTAAAATTCTTCTTATCTGACGTTGTATTGACTTGACTGATATACTAGCATTGCTAATTTAATCCCGTAGATAAAATGCTACTGCCAATCGACGAAGAGTCGCTCTTAGTAACTTTTATTCGTCAAATTTGCGGGATTTGTGGTGTACTAACAGAGGGTGGAGCATCTCTGCACGATATTACCCAACAATCGACGATTCTCTCACCTGTGTCTCCTTTTGATCGGTTATACTCTTCTATAAGTGCTGGAAATATCGTTCCTGAAGAATTCTGCAAACCAACTGCAACAAATTGGATTGAAAAGCCACAGAAAACGACAACCCATCCATATCCTCCATCTGGATGTGTTTTTTCTTTTTCTCTGTAAATTGCTTCGGTTTCTAACACTTCCTTGTCATCCATGTTAAGTGGCCTGAACTCATAAGGCCAATCATAGGCCTTCCTGCTTCCCGCGGCCCGTTCAAGTCTTGTCCTTTGCTCTATTTGTCTGATGTAAACACTAGAACATTTTCTATGGAGGACTGAGGCGAGCCTGCCGCCTGTCAGCTGGTCGACACGTGAATCCTATTGTTAATTGTTCACGCGATACACATGTTATCACGCACTCGTCACGCAGAACCTGCTGTGCTTTAGGACTCCCAACAAAGAGTAGATCTGAATAAATAACAATGGGTATTCATTTCAATTTCCTAAGCTACGGGATAATCTGCAACGTTTGGAAAACATTTGCCCTAAAACTTTTCAGGACAGGAGATTCCCAAACAAATTGAAAATGTGAAATTTGCTGAAAAGTTATAACAGTTAAAAATTCCAGTGGCGTGATATAATTGCCATAAAGACAAAGAATTACGGAATGTGCCACCATTCAAGTTCCTTTTTTCATTCGGCTTTAGCTTCCTTTTTATCAGTTTTCCGCGGTGTCTGGCATGTCGGTATCGAAACCGCTTTGTGCGAACATTCCCAGTAAATGACCATATAATATAAGTGTCCCCCGCTCAATAAGTAATTTTTATAAGGAACCGCACATTATTTTTGCCGGGACAGTAAGAAAATTTCGCAAATGCAATTACCCAACTCAAGATGGTTGCAAGTCAGGCAAACAACTTTCTGATTTGAAATTTTGTTCGAATTCTTTTCTTTACGATTCCAAAAATATAGCTATAAGCTAGAATAAATTATTTTCTTCAAAGCAAAACCTGACAAAACAACACAGCAAACATTTTGGTTCCTTCACAGTTCAAACAGCTCAGTTTTCAATCATATAAATAAGAAATTGAAGCGTATCAATTTTTGCACTATGGATATCAGAGCGACATAAATTCGAGCACGGAAATAGAAGATGGGAACGGAAGGATAGATGCGAGGATAGAGTTAGCCTTCCTTCCAGATTGATGCTCCTCCGCTTCTTCGCTTCCATCTTCTTTTTCCTCGCTCGCTGGTACCCAGGGTAACATTTTTGCCTTACAATCACGCTGCTCTGCTATCAAAACGGAGGCATTTGTAAACGAGCAACAATTTCAAATAATGTGTTTATTAAATACACTCCATTTTTAGCCTATACCCAAAAACAGTGAAATTTGAATGCGCTAAAAACAGCATCAATTAACGTGCATTTTGATAGGTAAACAGTCACTTTTAAAAAGTTTTATTCATGACTATGTCTTTGGAGAATTTGATTGCAATTGTTACGGTTTAATAGGGCCTCTGTTTTGAAATGAGGCTAGCAACAATTGTTTTGTCTTGCTGAAAGGAGCCCGTTAAAAGAAACATGAGACTTGTCTCTCTATGTCCAGTTACGAATACGACGAGCATCTTCGATATCATAAAACCGAGGTTAACCCAAGTGTCAAAGCATAGGTGTTCATCAATTCACACTCTTAAAGGACACGATGCTTGGCTGGATACCTATTCTTCTGTTAGAGCTGGCTGACAGAACACACATGCACAAAATTTATTTTGCCTGATACACACATTTTGTGCTTTATCAAAATTTATGACGTGGGTATGTTGTTGGATTGGGCTTGTCCCAGGCTACTTGTCCCGTACGCGATAAGATGGATTAAAATCGCTGACGCTGTAATTAGAGTATATCCCTAAATAATCGTGATCTAATTGTGTTTGGTTAACATGGCTTGAAATACCCATCGTTCTTATTGTCTCCGCATAAACTTCACAACAACATATTTTCGCATACACAATTTAATGTGCATTCTCTTTTTAAAAAACAGGATTCACAAAACTCAATGAAATTTTGCTGCAATGGCGAACCATGTTGTGTGGCAATAGTTTGCGACTCTGGGGGTGGTGCATTAGTTCTGCACTGAAACAAGCGTCTTACCCTTTCACTTTCAGGCAAAAATGGGGTCTTGCAAGCGTGATATAAAGTTTTTTGCTCTACTTTTTTCTCTTTTTTTGCTCTTTTGTGTGATTTAAACATGGCTAGTTAAAGCCGCTTTCTCGGAAGACGAAACCTTTTGTCATTTGCTTCAAAACAAATCAGTCTTAATCAATCAGAGTTGCAAAGTCATGGCACATCCGCATCAGTTACAGTTTCCAATCGAAATATTGTGCTGTGCTGAGCATCGCAATTTCTGTGCTGTGCTGAGCATGGCTTGTGGTGATTTCAAACGATGGAAAGATCTGCAATATTTTCTTGTTTTAGGGTTTTGAATATTATGGACTTTTATGTATGACTTTTATTTCTCACAGAACCGTGTACAGTTGATTTGCAGGGCAGTAGGTAAAAAAGCCTGATACTCAGTGAGCCTGGTACCTAGGGTAGAGGAGAGGCTACAGGGAGCTGTAGTGTTCAATTAGATCTTTGCCAGTGACAAGGGCCGAACCAACACAAGCAAAAAAGTAAAGAGTTCTGATTCAGTAGTTAACCTAAACAAAAACTCGGCGTTAACTATTTCTTTAACTCAAGCCAAAGCATTAAGATAATGCAATGCTCATATCAATGACATTTCAAAGGGAATTGCTAAATTGTCTTGAAGGTTCGTCTCCCGGACAATCTAGTTTTTTGATTGGGTTTGACTGTTGAGGATGAAACACAAAAAAGGTATTACCGTAAGGAAAAAGAAGAATGGACTACAAGAAACATGTTCTGAAAACACACAAGAAAGGGTTTAAATTTGACTTAAAAGCGCTAGATTGTAAATATAGAGAAAATTATAACAGTAGAAAATAGCCCCTAAATTGTGGGTTAGGCAATGAAGGGGTAGTGGTGATAAAGGGGTCTGGGTGAGAAACCGATGCAATACCGTACAAGAAATCGCACTCGTTATTGATAACCAAGTCTGACATATTTTAAAAGCCTCAATTGAAGGTTTACACACATAAAAGTTGATTACATAAAAGTTAATTTCAGAGTGGAGTTTTTTTGGTAGCAATGGTTTTAAACTCATTAATGGGGCTTCCTTTGTTCATTTTATCAGCCACATCTCGATCGATGCTAATTTGAACAAGCTTTTTCAACATTTCGTCTGACATTAGGGCCAAAAGGTGATGCAGCTGTAACAGGTGGGGCTGCAACTATACTATCCTTACAGCTTGAAAAAGTTTGGGTACAAGCTTTAAAGTTAATTATTGTCCAAAACCTTTAACAAGGAAGAAAGGCAAAGACCACGCTCTAAGAACCAACTGTTTAGCATGATAAAACTGTGCTTTATAGATCATCTTCATTTTAGTTTCTCACTATTTATGAAACTGATGATCCAACACACCACCATATGTCAGCTAATAATTGAAGAGAACCGTAACTGACCATCAAAATGAAAAAGTTCCGATCTCAGAAAAGAAAGCTAACATCCCCCCTTATGATTTTAAATCTGTTTTGGAAAAATTAGAAAGTCAATCTTAAAAAAAGTGGAGATATGTCCACCCCAGGACATGTAACACATGTGCAAAACTTGGAGTCACAAGCAGGGCCGCGGAGAAGATTTATAGGGCAGGACGAAAGATAGATAGTAAAGCATGCCTATGCTCCTCCTGGAATTTTTGAAATTGATGATTGCTTAAATTGCTCTTGTGGTTACTTTAGTTGCAAAAATTGCTATGTTGGCTATTTTATTTACTAAAATTGCTATGGTGGCCAAACTGCTCTAGTGGCATTGGCGTAGATTGAGAGGGGTTCAGAGGGGGCAAAAGCCCCTTGTAGAGTTCAACTGCTATTTTGTCGGAAAACCTTTGGTCTTGTAGAAAATTTAACATGGTTGCCTATGTTTTGATAAAAAAGAATTTAAAGCTAAGTAAACATAAGAGTATCTGAATACATCAAATGATTTATTTATTTCAGTTCCGATGTCGTTATGTTATGTTAAAATTGACGAAGAAATATAAATACTTGTTAGATTTTTTGTCAGAAGATATAAGTTTCTCACCCCTCCTGTGAATTTTTCTGTCTACACCATTGTCTGGAGGCCATATCACTTTTGTCTGTAGTTTGATATAATTTAAGCATAACTGATATCTTAACACCATAATACATAAAAATGAAAATTTCTCAGAAACTTTGGAAGTTTGGAAGAAAATGGAAAACGTTTAATTCGTTAACTTAATTCGATCACAACCCTACGCACTGTTGCAAATAGATGCGCATGCCATAGTGTAAATCTGTAGGACATACATATTGCTGTATCTTGCCCTGTTGCAATCCAATTGGTAACATTCAGAAGCTTTTCAACTTCTTTATCCCAACAATCAGGCAGTCAAAGACTCAAACTGCTTCTACCTTACTTCATTCATAGACTCTTGTTACTATTGTCTCTACTAATGACAATTTCTGGTAATGGAGAGGCTGGATTATCACTTGGCATTTTTTTGTAAATTTTTATTTATAGGCCCCTATAGCCAAGGGCCCCAGGGTCAGTGACCCCCTGACCCCTTTGACCCCCCCTGGTCTCCCTTTCTCCTCAGCACTGGTCGCATGCGGTTTCAGAGAAAAAAGTCAACAAATTTGAAGCAATTCACGAAAGAAAAAAGGGGACAGGACCGATCACTTGTGTCTTAGCAATAGAAGAATGTCAACAAGCCGAAGCAGTTTGTGGAGAATATCGTATAAGTTATGTGATCCCTTTATAAGTCTGGAAATGAAAACTGACCTAGCAGCTGATTACCAAAACTTGAAGGAAACCGTCTTATTATCATTTATCTATAATATTATGATTAAATATGAATTTTTTTCTGCACATATAGAAAATAAATTTGATTGAAGCATCTGCAAGTTGGCAACCTCTGTTCCTAAAGAAAATCTAAGAGAGGAGCTGGACTGTTTTGCAAAATTATTCACTAAATGCGAAATTGAAAAGTTAGCTTTGCAGAAGATAAAGAATAAAACATGTTTACTTACCGAGCCAGTAAAGATTGCTCGCAAGGACAGTTCAATGTATGCTATCGAAATATCGGTTGAATGGGGGAACTACAACAACCTTTATAATAATAATAATAAAAGAATCAATCTATTTAAAGTTGGCGCTACATAGTTATTTACAGTGAATGAGCTAATCCAAGCCAACAACCTTTGCTTGGGTTACAAAGTTTTATGCTCATTCTAAGTCACTTAAGTCACTTCAAAGCTAAAGATGTTAGGGTATCGCTTAAAAACACTACGAAGAAGGCAGGTTTGAAGTTGCTTTCAAATGCTGATAAGTGCAGAAAAAGATAGGCTGAACGGTTAAAAAATGAATACATCGTAAATCGCTTGGCTCAACCACTCAGGAAACGGCACAATTACTTTTAAAAAGAAAAAACTGAAATCCAAGTCAGACAATCAATTTCACTTCATGTTAAATTTCATTTTGATCGATAAGCCCTTATTGTAATCAATAATGCAGCTTCTCCATTATAGCCTGTGCTCCAGACCCCTAACTACCTTTCACCTTCCCACCTTTTCACCAACCCGCCTTTTCACCGACCCACCTTTTCACCGACCCACCCTTTCACTGACCCACCCTTTCACCTTCCCACCTTTTCACCAACCCACCTTTTCACCAACCCACCTTTTCACCGACCCACCTTTTCACCGACCCACCTTTTCACTGAGGCTCTGGAATCCAAGGGGGTGCTACATATGTTGTGCTGCTCAGAAGTGGCTAGATTACGATGGAATTTTTACTTTACTACGCCCTTTTTAGATCATACCTACAAGGGCCCTCTTCAGTTCTTCGTGGCCGGTTAAGCATTCTGAGCCAATCAGCCACTGATTTAATACATACATACTCTATTCATTTTCAAATCGGATCAGCGTTCAAGGAAAGTATTTCCAGGAACGAAATGGAGATAAGAGAAACGAAAACGGAGCTGTGCAAAATAGCCTCAGATTTTGTGTTAAAATCGTAACCCGAACGTCACAAAACCTATCAAAACATTGTCAACTCTAATAGATGCACAATTTAATCATAAATATTCATGTCCCCACTGTATTTTGTTTCTTTGTTTTTTCCACTTTCGCTAGCTTCAAACCATCTGATGGAGGCAACCGCAACAAGGATGAAAAATGTTTTGAGCCAATCAGACTGTTTGTTTACAATTTGAGCCACCCAATGGTATAGCGTCAAAGACAATAGAAATCTGGAGAGAAAATAGCATCGAATCAGCCGCAACAGTAACGCTCGCACCTCCTATCCAAAGCTGTGGGGAAAAACCGGCGCCACAAAAAGTTAACGCTGAACGCGAAAATTGTCATTATTGAAGTGCTTCATACAATTATGCATAGCAAAGGAGTATATCTAAAACTTTGCCGTCCCCATTTTTGAAATTCGGTCGTTAACCAGAGATAAGCGATGAAACGTTTACCCCATTATTGCCCTGATTGAATCTGCTTACGATGGTTATGGTTGGTTGTACTCCAAGAAAACGGCATCATGTCATTTTATTGAAAAACAGGTCATTTTGAAATCTTTTTACAGGTCGTTGATAAAATTTAAGCAACAAATAAACCTTGAAAAATTGTGCACATTTTACTTGTTATTTCAAAAATTGCTTGTTTAAAAATTTGTAAAGTAAAATTTGAAACCTCTGCATGACCTGCAAAAGTTTGAATCAAACCTTCAACTGAAAAAGCTATTGAGATATAACAAGCTACATTTTTTGAGTTCTCATTATCTTATTGGAATACAACGATCAGGGTCATTATTGAGCTTATATTTTGTAAAGTGGTACATTCTCCAACTCTTTTTAATGAAACTTTGCAAAAATATTTGAATATATTGACATGCAAAGTTGGGAAACCTTGAACCTTTCACTCAACAAAGACGCACTACATTTTACAGTAAAGACGAATACAATTCTTGAACCCTCAAGCACTTCGTAAGTACTTCTGAGTTTTTTCTTAAATGAATCCGTACTTAAGTCACTAAAAAAACCAGGGGATTTATTTCAGTGGAGACAGATAGCGTGGGCCGTTGCGTGCATAGAGAAAACATTTTATCGTTTACTGTCTAACGTTTTGAAGCCTTTATAACAATTCGTGTCTAGAAAATTCGTTGACAAATCGTCCTAAAAAACTTTGCCATGAGAAGAACCATTGCTTGCACCTACAAAAATACCAAAATCAGGAATAGAAATATGATTTTGGAATAAATATTTGCAACAATGCCGCTATTTTCTCAAGATATGCATTTCTTCTATACGCAACACTCTAGAACGCACTCAATGAAAGAAAGTTGACGGACTGTCTTAGGGTTAAGAACATGCAAGAAAAAGGCAGAATGAAGGGAAAAAACCCAAGTTTGGTAATCATCTCTCCGTCTTACTTTAAAATATACGACGTACATACTTTGTAAGTAAAAAATGACCTGTTTTTCAATAAAATGACATGATGCCGTTTTCTTGGAGTACAACCAACCATAACCAACGTAAGCAGATTCAATCAGGGCAATAATGGGCTAAACGTTTCATCGCTTATCTCTGGTTAACGACCGAATTTCAAAAATGGGGACGGCAAAGTTTTAGATATACTCCTTTGCTATGCATAATTGTATGAAGCACTTCAATAATGACAATTTTCGCGTTCAGCGTTAACTTTTTGTGGCGCCGGTTTTTCCCCACAGCTTTGGATAGGAGGTGCGAGCATTACTGTTGCGGCTGATTCGATGCTATTTTCTCTCCAGATTTCTATTGTCTTTGACGCTATACCATTGGCTGGTTCAAATTGTAAACAAACAGTCTAATTGGCTCAAAACATTTTTCATCCTTGTTGGCAACCGCAAAATCGACGTTTTAAAACTTTTTATATGAGGGTTTTCCTGGTTTATTAAGAATTTAGAAAAGACAAGGAAACCTTTTCATGGAACTAGGCATATTTTTGCGCGTAATGTTGGTTTTCTTTCGAAAACGTCCCATGTTCTAGCGGCATTCAAACCATAACTGTTTTGTTGTTATCCCTAAAGGAATTGAATTGAATGCACAATGAATTATTAAGCAGACAATAAGAAGAGATCAGCATGGCTTAAATATTTGTGATGTTGCATCAGACAAGACATAAAGATAAAGCCTGTTATGGTTTCTACAGTCGCTAAGTTTCATATCACAGCCTAGTTCGCTTGGGAACCAGAAATGACGTAATGGATAGAAATCCCCATTTCTAGGCTAACCGGTTGCACGTCCACGTGATTTCGTTAGAAAACAGGTTAATACCCTGCCTTGAATAGAAACCAACGAAAGATTATCAGAGAGAAAAAAAGAGTTTTTCATCATTTCATAGAAACAAAGTGACATATTGGTTGATATGACTCATGCGAATTGAACTGACATTTAATCCTATCATTTCACTCGAAGTTTTCGCTTGAATACCTAGAAACAGAAGTGCACGCCTTCCTTTCTGGTTTTTTTAAGGCCTTCCGTGAAAAAAATCTTCAGGAACATTTTATTACAAATTATTTTTTCCGCTGTATAGTTAAAATTTTTAAATAAACATAGTTTGACAATAATGTTGCTGCGAGCAATTTATGGTTTTTCGTAGATTATCCTAAAGCAGCCAGTAGTAAGTTTTGAAGTCATATCTTTTTGTGCCATCACGAGCCCCACCCCCAGTCCACCCCATTTGCCAAAGTTAAATACGATCAAGCAGTCTCCATACCGAACATTTTGAGATCGCACGAATACTGAACCTTTTGAGATTGCTGTTGATTTTATCAATTAATGTACATTCATTAAATTTTAAGTAACCTATTTGCACGAGTCACAGACAAACGGAATCTTCGAACACGCCATATTTGGCTTTCCTCGTTTTTCGGTTTGGCTGGTGAGTAATCCTCCTTGAGTCACGAGTTCACAAGTCCACCCCAGAAATGGAAGACCAAGACGCCAGCGATGATTTTTGATTGGTTTACTTCCCATCACATGATGCAAATGGACGGCTTGTTTCCTCTGTATGCAAATTTGCAGAAGAACGTCAATTTTTGACCAATCAAATTAACGCTTTTTAGTGACGTAGCCATTACATTGCCAGGGCTTGCCAAATATCGAGATGCTTGTACAGGGCTTCTTGACGGTAGGCCGCTTCATCACCACATATGCAGACAAGGCCTACCAAGACTTTTAAGTTTTCAATTATGTTTAATAACAATTAAAAAAGTGATAAGATATTAATTTTACTAATAAGGCATTTGAAAATGTCGGAGAAGGAACGTGAAAAAGAGTTAGAAGCGGCTGGGGTTATCGAAGGCCCACTGGAGGCGGAATGTGTTGAGTTCGATCTTTCGGGTGCACCCGACGGCGGATTCGGATGGGTCGTTGTTTTTGTAGCCTTTTGCGTGCAGTTTATCGTGCTAGGTGTTATGAACAATTTTGGTGTTATTTTCTCAGAGCTGCTTGTGGAGTTCAAGCGAAGCAAATCCCAAACAGGTACGATTTTTGTAAAGGAAATTTATCTTCGTGTTGAAACCGACAAAAGGTCGGGCAAACATTGCGACCAGGTCCTTTGGAGTCAATCGCTCTGTGGGATGCATCCTATTTTTACCCTGGTTATGTATTGTCTCACTTAAAGTGTAAAATTATGCAAAGCTAGTTTATGATCGAGAACATGACAAAATTGGTTTGGCAACTACGGATAGTTTGTTATAGAAGCTTTCTAGCACTGTTCCCAGCATCATAATTAAAAATTTTTATATTTAGGCCTAATGTACTTAATATATTACTTAAATTTTTCTGCACAAATCTAATACAGGAATACCCTTCTATACTTGGTAGACACATTAATGCTTCGTTCGCTGTTTATAGAATTTTTTCAGGGTTACTTGACGTTCCGTTTACGGACGCCAAAATTTGTTTGCAGAATTTACGCAACTTTTGTTAAATTCCCTTGTCAAAGATGCCTCATTGATCTCAAATATTATTTCCTTTCTTCATATCAAGTCTTTATTATTTCTCAGTTTCGCAGTAATATTTGTTTTCGATGTTACTTTTCTCGCGCAAGTCTTGTGACTTTTCTCTTGTATTGTTGCTGTTTTTCCATGCGCAAAAATTTTTGGCTCGCATTCAATTTGAACAAAAACATTAAATATTCACCGGTCGTTTGCTTTTCACGTGTTCAAATGCCGGTATGGTCGACCAATCGTTTCTAGACTACATTATTTATTCATACCATGAGCTGATATTCGGCGAAAGTGGTTCGATTCCGAACCATTGTTAGGCCTAAGCCCTGTTATGTTATGCTCTTCGATAATGGTTAAAGGACAAGGGCTGTTGATTTTGTGAAACTGCCCTTGTTTGTTCTCGTTTCCCATAAATTCTTTCTGACGACATCTGCGGTGTCATTTGTACACTATTCAAACTTTTGAAAGTAATTGTTCTTTTTTGAGGGACATTAAAATAAAGTAGTCTATGTTATTGACAGTCTGCTTTGTTTGTGGTATGAAATATATATAGCAATCTATCCCTTTCAGATTTTATATGATATTTCAATAGAATGAGCTAGGTGGGGCATTAAATATATAAAAGTGAACTCTATAAGCCAACAATGATATGTTTTAAATGATAATACATGCAACTTTTTACAAATACATGTCCTTTTATACTTTTTGTTTTTGCGAGGCTTCAGTAAATTCTGTTCTTATAGTTTTTGACATCATCAAAGCATAATGCACATTGGAATGTACTAGGGTGGAATCCATGAAACTCACACCAGAGATATTCGGCATGGACTTCATAATTTTCTTTGCCTACTGGCATAAAGTGGCAAAACATGTGTTAGCCTAAAGGTGGATGGGTTAACACCAAAGGTTGTTGGCAAAGACGATTAATATTTTCTTTAATGCATTGAACCCTACAGTGGGGGGCATGAGGGGGCAGCACCCTCCTTGCCTTTCACAAGGAGGGGCAGAGGGGGCAAATGTGAGTTCAGCCCTTGCATAACCCTTGCATAATGGCGTCCCTGTGTATAACCCAAGTTGTATGTGAAGGTGAAGGGGCCCATAGTGCAATTTATATTCAAAGAATCTCTTTGTTTTCTCTAGCATGGGTTGGCAGTATTACATATGGGTTGATGTTCCTCACTGGGCCCATTTCTACTTCTCTCTGTGAGAGACTTGGCTGCAGACCTGTTGCTGTACTAGGAGGATTAATAGCTGCTCTTGGCACCATGTTAGCATCATTTTCAACAGACATTTATAAAATGTACTTGACTTATGGTTTTCTGTTTGGAGTTGGTGCAAGTATGTGTTATTTTCCATCAGTCATTATTCTTCCACAATATTTTCACCGGCATTTGTCCCTCACCAATGGACTGGTCTCTTGTGGCAGTGGTGTTGGGACAATGGTAATGGGACCTGTCATGCAAGTCTTAATTGAAAAAATAGGATGGGTGAACACCATTCGTTGTTGCAGTGGACTGATGATTCTTGTTACTATGGTCAGTTTGGTTTACCGTCCAAGAATCCCACCAATTCCTCCAGAGATTGCAAAGACCAGACCACTCTTTGACTTGTCAGTGTTCAAAAACAAGGCATACATCCTGTTTGTTATCGCACTCTCATGCTTCATGTTGGCATACTTTGTTCCTTTTGTTCATTTAGTAAGTATATTCTATTCAATATTTTGTTATGTATTACAGACTATTAGGGTATATATTTATATATATATATAACTTTGAATTCAAACTGAAATTGTATATATTAACAAAGGAAGAGTGAGATATATTAACAATATTTTTAGCATAGCCTGTTACCAAGAGAAATGTCATTGTTGAAATGTTGTTAATATAATTTGCCCTTTCTCTCTGCGTACAATTTTATTTTAAATTCAAAATTGTATTATTTGCTGGTATTCTACAACAAACGATCAATATACTTCACTGAAAAATGTCACATGATTGGAGACATCATAAAACAGGGCAGAACATACTATATTTAGTCAATCAAATTAATTACAAGATCCGGACAAGAATTCACCAAAAGAGGTTATAAGGGCTGAAAAAGAATCTCATTGAATTTCATTGTAACTTGGAACATCAAGTAGAAAGTGACTTAATAAATTATCAGGCCACAGACTTTCCAAATTTCTTTTCTGCCCAAAAAAATTCCCACTTTCTGCCAAAAAGTCAATATCTGTATCAAAGTAAACATTCAATGTTATTTGGAACTGAATTACTGTAAAATGGCATATGTATTTTCCAATCATAAATGATTTTTACCAAGCTCCTTAACCCCCTCATTTTGTTTACCAAGTCCAGGGTCTCTGCACTTGACCTTTTTGAGCTACTGTTTTGGCCTACTGTATGTCCTTACTTTTGGACCCTGAGTATGTATGAAACATATAAACCAATCTAAAGGAATTGATTTTGTTTATCTTTAGGGCCAGATGGCTATTGAGTATGGTGTTGACAGAAAGAAAGCCTCATTGCTAGTTGGTTTCATGTCAGTTTCGTCAACATTTGGAAGACTTTTCTTTGGTAAAATATCTGATCACCCAAGAGTTAACCGATTGTACCTTTATCAAGTTGCAATGCTAGCAATGGGTATCTCGAATACCCTTTGTCCTCTTATGAATGATTATGGTGGATTGATTGTATATTGTGCAGCATTTGGATTCTTTGAAGGCTGTTATGTTTGTCAGTGTGCAGTTCTCACTGGTGATATTGTGGGGCGTGAAAAAATGGCACCTGGTGTTGGAACATTGTTTGGAATCAAATCAATCCCTCTCACACTTGGACCTCCCATTGCAGGTAATTGTTTGTAACATTTTTTGTTTGCTGCCAATTAAAATGAACAAGAATCCTATTAATGAGGTGTATCATAATGTGAATCAAGATCCACTCAACATGAAATGTATGGAATTAAAATTTTTGAAGTATAGACTGTAACTTTTCAATAATTATTTTACCAAAAATTTTGCAGCAATCATTTTTCTGTTAAATGGTATGTAGAACAATGTGGTTCTAGGTTTCTACTTGTGATGACTTGTCCAGGGATCACATTGATAATGAAACTCAGAAAGCAACTTTTTGGCATCATTTAACACTATTCTGTTTGCATGTTAGGTTTCCTATATGATATATCAGATTCATATCAAGTGGCTTTTTATGTTGCTGGGGCTGTTCCTACACTTGCTGCATGTCTCATGTTTGCAATTCCATTCCTAATGCCGCCACCTGATCACAAATATTGGAAAAGACAAGACACCATAACAAGACGTGAACAAAGTGAAAAGAAATTGTTACCATCAAGCTCATCCTCGGAGTCGTCAATGGCCAAAAAGCAAAGTAGGCCACCTGTTACAAGAAATATTCCACGTATTGCACAAAGTCAGTCAGTCAATTCCCTGCATAGGTTCTTTGATATGCCTAAAAGAATTTCCATGGCAGAAATTGGCAGTGTGCGGTCTTTGGTCATACCAAGAAGCAGCCTAAGCTCTCTAGCCTTGAACGTTCAAAGTGATAGAGCTTCAGTTGTATAACTGAAGTCATGGATTCAGATTGCCCTGGAAAGTATGCTTAAGGTATATGGAGCAACATTGATCTTTGCACACCAAAAAATCCTTAAAAATTTTATGTCTGTACCTTAAGTAGCTTTGGAGATGATTTTACTACATTTTAGAATTAAGAAGTCGAGTGACGTCCACTCTGATTATGATTTGTGCATGGTTTTAAATCATGGCAATCTTAAACAATTTCCATGTGTTAAAATATCTTTCTTGTTTTTGTTGTTGCTTTGTGTCATATGTATTGTCTGACATTTTTTTGTTCAGTCACATCTATTTGTACTCTTCATTCTAGTAGCTTCTTTTGTAAATTATGGTCCGTAGTGGTTATCATGTTTTTGTGTAAATTGTGCCAGTGTTCATGTTTAATGAAGATCAATATAAATATAAATAAGTACTTGCTTTGTCTTTTTCAATGTGTTTAAGGTTAACAGTCATTTATAAGATAAATACTCTGGTCTTTAGCTTTGAATTGCACTTAAGAATAACCAAGATAGAGATTGTTTTCTCTATAAAGCATTTAGGAATGTTTTGTTTATTGACTTCCAAATGCTTTGTTCTTTCAACCCCATTTCTGTTTGTCTCCCACTTTCCATTTGTTTTGTACAGAATTTGGTTTTGATTTGTATAGGATTAGCTTTATTTTCAATATTTCATTCTTTTTAATTACAGTAATCAGCTATTTTAAGAGATCATCAAAGCTGATACTTTAGATTCCTAATTTTATATATATATACATTCTATCTTTGGTGTATACATATTTTCCCATCCTGTAAATTTCCATCTAGAATTGTTTTTCCCATTTGCAAAGAAGCTCTTTAACACACGACATGCAACCCAATGAATGTCATAGCACTTCGTGAGAAGGGAAATTTCTGTCCATAGTCCACTGTTAAGCTGAAAGTTTATTATTTAATTCATATGATTTTGGTATTCATTTCAAAAAAATGTCTCTTTCCTACTTTTTGATGACTAAGTATATTCTGGTACATAATCCGGGCTACCTATTTATAGGATTTGCCCTTTCAAAGGCTGAATTCAGATCTGTTTAATTAGGCCTTTGTAAGGGCTTATTTTACAGTCACTGAATTAAGAGGTAACCACTCATTGAACTTGGCTTAAGGAAATTTGACCCACAAAATCTATGCCAATTTACAGATCTGTACTCAAATGGCCAAAGTTTTTCCTTTGAATGAATTTTTGAAATGAAATGTGGTATAAAAACAGAAGAAAAAATTCTCGCTTCCATTCAATGCTTAGTCTGTGACCTTGTGTATCACTAATGGCCGAAGGAACACAAAGGGTTATGAAATGTAACATAGACCGCTTTCTTGGTCCTGCGTTGCTGGGATTTTGTGTCTTAAAGTAAAGTAAATGGATATGAATGCGAATAGAGAGATGACTTGTTTGGAGTTCTCTTGGGTGCTTGAAGAAAGTTGAATCAAGGGTTTTGACTTCCTTTAAATTGCCCTTTACGATGACTTTCGTTTAAACTTTCCCTTTAGCTCCAGGGTCGTATTACGTTGTAAAGCATTATATGCAACCTAGCTTTCAGCCCAACACTACTAAGATTTCAAAGAGTATATTTCGTTTTTATTAAATTAGTTACGATTTTATGCAGACTGTTGGTCTTATTCGTAATGTGTATTGATTCAGTTTTCAATGTAGGCCGGTTTATGTCTTTGGAGTAGTTATATTACGGGATTGCACAGATATATAATGCTTACATCTATGCGAGGTAAAAATTTTAAAAAGAGATTTTGTTAGCATGTTATGTTAGAACAGACGCGTATGTTGCTGGCAAAAAAGGATTTTAAGTGGCGGGTTAAAGAGTCGTTGTAGTTATTTTCCGTTGTTATGATGCTAAGATACAATTTTTCTGGAGCACTGGTTTTCCAATTGGATTAATACTGAGATCCATACCCGTAATGCATTTGATATAAGACCCTTCGCATTTCTTGCCCCTCCGCATTAGCACTTATAACATAAGGCATTTGTCGTTGTCCTCCCCATGTTCGGTCGTTTTTCTTACCAGGCATCCCACTACCAGTGCTTTGTAGGTATGGATAGTATTATTTGGTGAACATTATGCAATATGTCTGGAGCTCATTGTGTTAACGGCGTTGAAAAATTGTCAGGTTGTTTGACCCCCTAAACAAAAAGCCAGCCTTAAAGATGAGGCATGTTACATTGGCAGCAGCCACAATACTATTGCAGAACAATTCTATCGAAAATGTCTTCAGAATGCCATTTTGACGCACCAGCAAACGCCGTTTAACCGTAAATGATGGGTTCCACAAGTCCGCAAAACACCTGTCTTGTTTTTTTGTCGCCTGAGCGTATAGGCGCAATGTTTTTAGTCGCCTTGACACGTGGTTTTTGCGAAACGATAGCATTTGCTGTATAAACTGTCAGGTGTTTTGTGGACGAGAGGACGGCCCATACGTAGCTATGCTTTTGTAGAATTGAAAATAACGGATTTGTCGAATTGTTTTCTAATAAGGATTCATCTTTCCAATTTTTGTGTACTCACTGCTCCTTCTCTGCTGTAGTATTCTCTGTTTTCTTTCCCGCTCTTCTCTGCGCTTCTCTGCTCTCATCTGAACCAACAGGAACCTCTGCTCCCTTGGTTCATAATTTTTTTTCTGGCAGGCACAGCCCCGTCATTTTTCGCCAAAGTAAATTTCCAAGGTAGATCAGTGATCCGCCCTGCTCTGATTGGTCATGCTCGCCACTGATCTGCCGTTCTCTGCTCTTATGTGATCTCCGTGGTGTCTTTTGGGTCTAAATGTGCCAATGTGATCATTCAATGCCATCTAATTTCATTCTAAACTTCCAAGGTTGGGCACCCATCCTGCAGTTCTTGTTTAAGGGTTACTCAGCTATAAGAATTTGAGTTCGGTTCCCACCGCAATCTTAACAGTGTTGATCTGTGCAGGGTTTTAGGAGTGTTTATCAGTGCGGGGTTTTGGGATTTGGGAAAATGCACCGATATTTTAGGTTCAAAACATTTCAAAAGAGACTGATTTGGTATTTCAGTAGTTTTGTTCGGAAAACTGAAAACACGATCAAGAGTATTTCTTTCGATTTCTGCGAATGATTCCAAAGCAACAGAACAAATTGCTGAATCAAATAGGAATTAAACTGTGTTATGTTTTTTATATGATGTTTTGAGCAGCCGAGAATCTTTAGCTCTGTCGTATGAATATGCAGTAATGGACTCGATCATCGAAATTCTTCATCGTCTCCTCTCTCCATTGATGCTCTCTTGGATTATACTGATTTTTTTAAATCAATACAGTCAAGGCAACAAGTGGGCTTTTGAAGCAAATGACGATCGACAATTATTTAGGCACTTCCCTAAAGGTTTCAATACCACCTTAGTGTTCTGGCCGTAAGGGAAGGTATTGAATTCTCAAATTCGTTCTCATTTCATGAAGTACAGAAACAGTTTCCCGATAAAGGATTGCCTGCAGCAGTTTTCCCATTCGGACAAGGACGAAACAAACTGCACAGTCTTAAACAAATTTCGCTCTACCAGTCTTCTGAATACATTCTTTAGAAACTATGAAAGGCTATGGAACAGCAACTACCTCTTTTTTGATTTAATCATATAAAAAAAGGCAAATTGTATGCCCGTATTCATACAACCTGTTAGAGACTGGTAGGCCAAACTTTATGATGCAGTATTGATGGACTCATTAACAAAATTACATTGTATCCCACATCATCTTCTGAAAACACATTTAAATAGGTAAGGCATAGACGAAATATCCTTAGTTCTTATGTGCTCCTACCTTAAACAGTGCGATCAATCAGTAAGAAAAACTATCTGTTGTCCCCCAAGGCTTTGTAGTAGGCCCTATTCTTCTTTATGTTTATCTCCGGTTACCTTATGTTTATCTCTTGTATGAACAATCTCTTATTTGTAAACCTAGCAACGCCATAAACTATGCTGACCAAAACCCTCAGGCTTGTTGCTACTTAAGGGCTCGCTTTGGTTGGAGAAATGTCATGTAATTGCAAATCCATCGAAGTTTTCATGTTCTTTTATTCTAGGGCGGAGGGTTGCTTCATAGATTTGAAGATTTTCGCTCGTTCGCCTCCCCTACAAGAGAGCACTGTGGCCTGTGGGCATCAGACAAGAAAGAAAGAATTGGCTAAACCTTTGAAAAACCACTGAAATAAATAATTCAAAAATTTCCACAATACTGGGGATAAAATGGTGCGAGGATGGCTGAGTTGTTAGAGGCGTTGACTACAGACCGAAGGGTCCGTGGTTCGAGTCCCTGACATGACCAAACGTCCACCCAGAGTGAGGAGAGTCGCCAGTTCTCTGTAATTCAAGGCGTAGGAATCACGAGGTGTGGTCACATCGAGAGGAAGGACCAGGACATTGCTCGATAAGCATAAGTTTTGAAGTGTCCTAAAAACTACCTTCGGATGCTAGGTAGAAATGAATACAAATACAAAAATACAAACACAAAATATTACAAAACACTTTCACATTTTCATATTGATAGAACTTGAATAATTAAATTATGTGATATAATCATTCAAGAGTGATGAATAATTTAATGAACTATCGTACGATGGCCTTTCCTTATTTGGAAATCGTACGACTGCAAATTTAATTGTAAATCACTCCGGAGTATTTTGTATACATTAAAAGCTTTCAGTAGTAATTACAATAGCCTCGAAACATAGATGCAATGCAGGGGACTCCTATGTTTTCAATAAACAAACAAACAGCTTTTCATGTTGTTGGCCATTAACTGAAAAAACTTGGAAAAATTCATAAAAAAGAAAGGTTTCTTTTTACTTTACCTTCCTATCTATCATATTGGGTCTGCTAGCCAAGGATGTGACGTGTATTTGGTAACTTAGCTGCCAATACATGACAAACAGAAGCTAACTTTTATATTATGAAATGCACATAAAATATCATATTGTATCAATCGAATGAGCAGTGCTGAGGAGAGGGGGGTCTCTGACCTGGGGGCCCAAGACCATAAGGCCATAAATAATAACTCAAAAATAACTTTATAGGAACGTTTTGCATGAATTTAGAAATCAAACGTTTTTCACTTTCTTTCAAGTATAAAGAATTGCATATTTTGTAGCCAAGAATTGTGTATGCATTATGGCGTAAACATACCAGTTAAGTTTAAGGTATAATAACATGGGCAAGTAAGTAATATATACCAGCACAATTTAGCCACAATAGAAGTTTCAGCAACTGAAATAGCCAATGGGGTAATTTTAGCATAAATCGTTTCAAACATTTTGCCCGGAGGTCCTAGATGGGTCCGCTTTCGGCTAGCCTGTGTTCCAGACCCCTAACTTGAAAATAGAGGTTCCAGACAACTACTTACAATTTAGGGGTCTGGAGGACGGCCTACTTCCGGCTATGCTATTGGCGTGCCTTGCTATCATTTTTCTTTCGTTCTCACCCGGGCCCCCAAGTCCTCTCCGAAGCCCTACGAATGAGCACTGAAAAAGTTGAGAGGCAGAAATGCATAGGGCGGGTGCAGAACAATTTTGAAGGAGGAACAATTGGTAATGGGGGCGTTTAAAATTTTTCAGAAATTGGTGACGAGTGTGCGCTGTATACAACAATTTCAGACCCTAATTACTGACAGAAGGCTATCTATTCACGTTCTGAAATAAATGTTCACAACAATTGTGCCAAGCCATTTCAAGAAAGAGTCACCAGTCTTGCTTCAGCTCGGCGAGGGGGGGGCAACTGCCCCTAGTTGTCTTCTTGAATCCGGTACTGCAGATACGACGTTTAAATAAAATCAGATTTCCTGGTGTGCTTTTGTTGGGATTTTGTCAATCTGAACCCTAATTGATCCGATATAAGTTAACGGCCTATATTTGAAGTAGCAATATTTAGTATTTCTTCCTAAAAGATGTAAAGGCTAATCGTTCTTTTTGCGCAACCTTTTAGTTAACTAAGACTGTATATCTTGTTTCGATAAATTCATTTTAAGTTTCGTTTTGTTAAGTGATTCACATGATATATGGATAAAGCGAAATAATGCAACGTTTTAGGTTGTGGCCACGTTTTACCAAAAATTAAGGTTCCGGCATGCTGAAACTGCTCTTGCAAGGGTACAAAATAGGGGTAAAATATGACCTGGCAAAAGAAGCTTTTTTTAAATAGCTCTAAAAGAAATTTTTAAAGTCTTACAAAGGAAAGGAGCTGGCGTGAAAAGACATTCGTGAAATCTGAAAATATCTCGAAATGCAAATTTGCATTGGGAGGCAATGTAACATAATAAAGCAAATTGCTGGCCTTGTCGACTGACAAGGGTTAGTTTAAAAGACAAATATCGAGTCATAGATTCAGGATTACTTAGTGCGTCAACCACTCCAAGACTATCGAACAGTTGCACATTTCTCCTCCTTTGTTAAAATCACGAAGAGCGCTTGTTGGTAACCAGTTGTTTAAGGTTAACTGCTTGTCCAGTTTGATGATTGTTAAAGCAAATACAGAAGCACTCTTATTCTTCAAAATGCAAAGTATAGTTCTCAGCCTTTAAAGAGGAATCAAGTAGATGTAGATCATGTTTCAATGTTCAGATGGCAGGTTGACACGCATCCACCAAGGTCAGATGCGTCCCCTAGGTAAATTATGTACGGGTCGTGGGATTGCTATTAGACACAGAATTTAGACATTGAATTTTATTCCAGTCATCCAGTTTTAGACAAAATTAGGTCTTTCTAAATTTTCACTAAGTTTGTTAGTTTGAAATTGATGTGATTAATTACTCAATTCATTTTAGCTCCATTCGGATCTTTGGTTCTCTTTGGCTCTCTTTGGCTCTCTTTGGCTCTCTTTGGCTCTCTTTGGCTCTCTTTGGCTCTCTTTGGCTCTCTTTGGCTCTCTTTGGCTCTCTTTGGCTCTCTTTGGCTCTCTTTGTCTCTCTTTGGCTCTCTTTGGCTCTCTTTGGCTCTCTTTGGCTCTCTTTGGCTCTCTTTGGCTCTCTTTGGCTCTCTTTGGCTCTCTTTGGCTCTCTTTGGCTCTCTTTGGTTCTCTTTGGCTCTCTTTGGCTCAACTAACTTGCTCTGTTCGGCTTTGTTTCGGTCCATTTACCTCAATTTGGCTCTCTTTGGCTCTCTTTGGCTCAATTTGCCTCTATTTTGGTCCATTTGGCTCAATTTGGCTCTGTTTCGGTCCATTTGGCTCAGTTTGGCTCGGTGTGGCTCAATATGGCACGGTTCGATTCCATATGGCTTCGTTTGGGTGTACGAGTAATCTACTGTAAATAGTAAATCAATAATTAATGCTCATAAGTTTCTTTAGTTGTTTCACAGTTGGAATTATGCTATACTGCCATTGGAGTTATAAAGTGAAGTTATATATACAAAAAAGATACATAGGAAATGTTGAGAGATCTTCAGGGCGGTATAGTTCTTTTCTACATAAACGGCAACGATAAGTATTTACAGCTTTTTCTGAATTTTTTCTTATGGGAATAACGAAACCAACTTTTGCGACATACTTCTTACACAGCCTGCAGTGCAGTTACAATCTTCACCTTTCCATTTTTTATACGAACTTTGAAAATTTGGAGGCTGACTAATTCTTCTGTCTCATTTGGGGGAAATTTATTCCAATATTTCAAAAATTTACTTTTCAAATCATATGTGGTTGTTCGTCTTATGGGGAACTATTAAATTCTCATTTCTTAGATGATTATTGGACATTTGGTTTCGATCAAAATGATGTTCACAAAGCTTGGGTTAAGATCTCATATTTCTTTTAAAAACCTCAGTCATTAGTATCTTCAGTCATTAGCAAGTGCACCTTCAGTGTGTTGTGATCTTAGTTCATTGTAAGGCAAACGGCAAGTCATTGATATGAATCAAAATAGGAGTAGGCATATACAGAGTAAGTAGCTACAGTACAAAAAAGAGTTTATTTATAGATGAATTATAGGATTATAATGACTGTTTATCGGTTTGTCCTATAATGCTCGATGCCGTATAAGCATAACTGTACACTTTTTTGGTGTGTAAAAAAGGACGCTTCTCAGATGCTACTCCCAGTCTCATGCGGTCATCAGGCAACTATTATCATAAATATATCTAAATATAACGAAATACGGAATGTATGATGGATACAACATACAGTCTTATAGCCCAAAGCAGAAGCAGTCTTGAAGAGAAAGGTTCGTTAGAGGAAAGTGTGAATTCTACAAAAGCCAAATTGTGCTTTATAAAGTTCATTCGAATGCATGCAAAATTTGTTTAAATGCGTAAACAATTCATTTCACTTAATAAAAAGTTTATTTCACTTATGTAAACATAGACTATTTTTGTGCTATAAGCAACTTTGATGATGCTTTTTCGAGAAGAAGATCGAAACGTTAAAAAAGAAAGAATTTTAAAAAGATTCATATGAGAGTAAGGTGAACAGAAAACTGTTCCTTTTGCTTAAATTTTTTTTTGGAGGCGGTCAAGATCCCCTTTCCCCCTAGTGTCCCCCTTACCCCCTTGTGTCCGTCACTTACCCGTTGATTCATTTGCTTATAACTTTCCTTCAAAATCATTTGACTACCCTTCAAAATCATTAGACTATGATTTTCAATGGGAGGTGTGACATCGATCCTAAAATTTGCGCATAATTGTGAGTGAGTACTAACTTTCCAATCCAACCATGACGATTGGTGATCCCACAGGGCTGGATTCAAAGCATGGGGCGTACATGCCTCCTATTTTTTGAAGATCCGAGGATTTTTAAAAAGAAATCCTGTCCAGAGAAAAGTGAGTATCAAATTGATCGAGTTCAATTTTCACTGGAACACTGTCCACTGAACACTGGAATACATACCATTACATTTTCGACCGTCTGGCTTTTGCTTTCTTTCTTTTCTAACTATACTCCAGAGGTTTCCGGTTCTTGAAAACCCATTGATGCTAAAAGGTCCAGCACTGATGAAACTGGAGTTAGTAGCTGTCGAAGCCCCGGGCCCAGTAAATGAGTTTGAAGAGCTGATGGAAGTAGGGACAACACCCATAACGTTTAGATTGAACACGAGGTTTTGAGACTACATCATATCATATAATATTATAAATTAAAACTTCTTTCATCATATGATATAAATGTTTGTGTGGTCAAAGCTTTAGAAAAGTGTAGGTCACATCATGGTGTAATTTGGTCTTGTCGAAACTCTAGCCGCGTTATTAGAAGCCCTGACGCTATTTTTGTCTTGTCTGTTGCAGCCGTGCCATTTAATGTCGAACTGAATCTTAGTGTTGTATGCCAGAAGCCGTCGTCTGTCGTGAAGAAAGCCGAAATTAAGAAGTTACCCATCATACTCCGAGTTGTTCTCCTGTCTCGGCTCTACAGCAAACTTACGCCTGCAAAACCCTCTCTCAAGTGGTTTTACAAACTTCTTCAAAACGCGAAGTGTTGCTATTAACGAGGGTCCGGTATCTAAAAGTTACGATATATTAAAATATTACATTAAAATTCACGACAAAGAAATATAGCTACTAGGTGGAACTGCTCACGTTTAAAAGCATAAATTAATTTTAATTTGCGGGTAGTGCCAGCTATTGACCAAGATGAAGTTATCAGACTTCGTTTTAAGATAGTATAAATCGTTGACTCCATAATACCATCAACAATGTGCTATTTTAGCGAGTGATAATTACTGCTGGACTAAACCTTCCCAAATTTTTTTTGTTAAATCCTCAAGACATTCATACTACTGCCAGTGCAAGTCTAAGCTGCAAAGGAGATATTGGAGGGCGAGGGAAAATTTTGCTGTTTCCAGAATTTCGAGGCACAGAAACAGTTAGATTTATTGGCCAGAAAAATATGGCAAAAGCTACCTACTGAAATGAAAAGTCCACATCACTATATATTTTTAAACGAAACAGAAAATCTTTAGAAAACTTCGAGTGTAAAAACCATGTACATTTTGGTTTTTACAAATAATTACTTTTCATATTCATTGTAAATTGTTGGATTAAATAAGCTTGCTTAATGCTAGATCTCGTTGCCAACTCTAAAAAATTATTCAATATTTATTTTTAGAATTACTGTTATATTATGTCACTTAATGCTAGTTTTAATGTTTCAACACCAAATGTTATTGCTAGTTATGATATGGCTCCGTCAATTATTCCTTTTTACTTCTCATGCCCAATTTACATAAGAAATTGTCAAAAATGCAATAGTGAGATTTTCGTATAACCTTAATCACATTCTTGTGCACCCAAACCGTGGGTGAGAAAGGTATTTTAAGTCTAATCAATTTACTTGCTATATTATCAAACAAGCTTGGTATGTCGTTGTAAAATCTAATATGATACTAATAATGAATATTTGATATAAATATGTCATGCAAATGATGACTTTGACAATACTGAGAACTTTTTGTCGCTCTGCCCTTGCTTTGTTGTACAGAGACAAGGCCGGAGGCTTTCTCGCTGGTACGACCGCTCAGATCCCCTGTAGATCTTTCAAATGGATTTTTGTTACAACTTCCATTGTATGGCAATGAGGGTCCTCCTGATTCATTGAATCAGCAAATTTCGAGCTTACGTTACATTTTAGTAATAAAACTGGTCAATTTGATAAAGTCCTTTGATAAAGTCCTTTATTCTACCTTTTCGATAAGCCACTGAATCGTGATGTCGCCCTTGTAAACATTTATTCAACTTGTGATCTTCGTCTTTGTTTTAGATGCTGCAATGGCATTTTATAGTAATGCCTTTCTTTATCAATACACAGCATGAACAAATCCTGTCACCCATCTGCCTATTTCTTCTAATTATTTGTTTCTGCCATCCACCCCTGCTTAAAGAGCTCACCCCTCTGCATACTCAGCAACCACCCTCCTCACCTAGCCAACTCATGAGTCTTAATCCAAGCAGAAACATTGCAGGGTATAAAGTACATATTATTACTTTGAAACTGTAAATCCAGCACTCATTAAATTTTCTACTCGGTGAAAGGGGCAGGCTCATTTGAAGGGAGTTGTTGGCAAAAAGAAAACTAGATTCTTTTGAAATCAGTTTGATATAATTGAAATGTAAAGGGTTAGTTCTCTCTTAAGCAAGATCAATATGAATTTGCATTTCTTCATCATCATCATGACCATCACCTGCTCCATCAGAATTGATGCGATAGCTAAATGGGATGTTTCACACATATTTCTTGAAGACATATTTTCTGTTAAGATTTGCTCTTACAAAGGACATTAGCTGAGGGAAATCGACAATTTCAGAAAGGTTCAAAATGACTGTTTCTGGAAGCATGGCTACAATGATGTCGTCGAGAGGTTTTGAAACCCTGTGACAAAATGAAAAGATGAGGCTTTCTGCGAACGAGGCTAGCAGAAATTTTTTGGGGAAATGCCCTTTAGATTAGCTCAAAATACATTTCAGAAAATTTTTGGAGACATTTTCTTGCAATTGTTTAAAATGTTGTAAAAATTGTTGGCATAATTTTGTTATCTCTTACTTATTTCTTTCTTAAACTGGAAGCCTCGAGGGAGCTCCTAATCCTTAAGGCCCTAGGGCAATTTGCCACCGCCCCCACCTTTCTGTGGCCCTAGTTGTGAGTTTGTAGGTTTTTGTGTTTCTAAATGCAGATCGCATAGAAACATTTCAGATCATGATGCCAAGAGGTAACCCTCACTCTCTTTGCTCATTTCGTATAGCACCTAAGTATTTGACGGTCAATTATTGATTATGCAGTCGGAAAAAAGGCAACTTGGCAAGCTGCAAAGGGGCATTTTACCTGAAGTTTTGAAAAGTGAGGGACACATGCCCCCTGTCCCTCCCGGTCCCTACGTCTTTGAGGCAGGACGACGGAACCTTCAGGAATTAGACAAAAGTGACAAATCGATTGTTTAAACACAATAGGGATTACGTTTGTCACTATTTTGTCATGTTTCAAGTGTTAGTGCGCCCAACCATAGTCTATGGCCCAACCCCCTAGCACCATTTCGCCAAAACACCTCGTTGATATATTTACTAGCACAATTACATTACTGCGATAATTCAATATTACTTTTGGGCACATAGTTCTTTTGAAAGGACCCCACAATGGCCTAGGTATTTGGGGTAAAAGG